AAATTCAGACTGGGGAAACTAGTGAGATCCTGTTTCAGGAGAGAGGAAAAAAGGGTGCTGAGGATGCAGCTCAGTGTGAAGACGCTGGGCTCAATCATCAGGACCAAGAAATGCACATAATAAAGCATGGTGTAGTTCTTGATACCTTCTCCTGCCCACTTACTCCGCACCAAGCCTGACGGTCAGAGCCGTGTCTGCTAGCCAGCTTTCCATCACTGTGACAAAATGCCTGGGACCATCAGCCACCACGGAGGAAAGGCTGATTGTGGCCCATGGTCTCACAGGTGGTAGCTCAGCCCTGTTGCTGTTAGGGCTGAGCACCATGGCGGGAACATGTGGTGGAAAGCAGGCCACAAAAAGACAGGAAGGGGCGGGGTCCCAGCTCTCCAAATCCCTCCAGGGACCTGACTTCCCTCCTATAGGTCCCACCACCTCCTAACAGTGCCACAGGCTGGGGGCCGAGCCTTTAACACATGGGCTGTTGGGGGACACTTCAGACCCAAACTATAGCCATCTCTAACGTGATTCTTTAAAAGGAAGCAACCACAACCCCACTAGCTTATCAAATTTCATTAACATTACTAAATATCCAGCTGCGTCCATGAGTGGTTTGCTGTTGGATGCTGATTATATTTCCTTATTATTATTTTAGTTTTAATAGACAAGACATCCTGGTCAAGCAGGTGGCCCTGAGCTCTGGGGTCACGCAATCCTCTGGCCTCTGCCTCCCAAGTACAGTGGCACCTCAGTTCATAAACATTTTTGTCTGCAAACAATTTGGTTCACAAACAAGCATTTGGCAACATTTTGTTTTTGTTTGCAAACTGCATCAGGTGACAAACACAACCTCAGCCATTTTTCCTGCACAAATACAAACGTGGCCATCTTTTCCAGAGCATAGAACAAATAGAGTTCATGAGTCGAGGTACCACTGTACCTGGGACTCCAGGGATGCACCATCACACTGGGGTTGGGATAATGATCTTAGTTATGTATCTAGAAGAAGTGAAATGCTACGTTCACCAAAAACCTAGTAGAAGGGATAAACAAACTAGTATTAAACTGTGGTAACACTCAGTAGTCAAAGAGAATGAAATAGTTCATTCAACGTGGATGAATTTCAAAAGTTACTTACAGCAAAATTAGTAGGTGAGTTTTGTGTTCATTTTGATGCTGAGCAAAAGCCAGAAGAGTAGATATTAGATGACTCCAGTTTTACTAGGTTTAACACCAAGCAAAACTGATCTATGGGGACAGAAATCAGAAATGTGACTGCCTCTGTGAGTCCGTGTGTGTGTGTGTGTGTGTGTGTGTGGTGGAGACAGCAGATTCGGAGACAGACTGGAAAGGGGTGTGAAGGAACTTCCCAGGGTGCCGGAAACGTTCTCTGTATTTGTGGATGGTTATGTGACTATGGAACTGTCGGAACTCACAGCTTCGTCTACTCACTGTCTGTGCATTTGGTGAAAATTTTGACTCAATGTAGACAGCGGGGACTAGGGTACAACCCAGCCCAGTAGGAGCGCACCTGCCTAGAGTGCCCCTGGGTCCCAGACTTGCTGCCCTCGGGGGTCTGTGCCAGCACAGGCGGGCTTTCACAGTGCACTCCGCCCGCCAGCCTGCGCGGCCACACAGCCTGGCACAGGCTTCTCTTCTGTGCTCTTGGGGATGGGTTGCACAGAGGGCTCAGCGGCTGGGCATCGCTTCCAGGACTACGTGGCCAGATCTGGCCATGAGTGTCCTGACCGTCGAGGGCTCCACGGGTGACGGCCGCTGCCACATCCCGAAGAGGAGTCTCGCTCTCTGCAGCTAGGCACCTGTCTTTTGGCTGCCGCTCTGTGGGCAGTGAGTGTGTACAGTTCTCCTCTGCAATCCTACTCCAGCGAGATCCCGGTCCTCATCTGTCCTGAGGGGCTTAGTTTTTTTCTTTTTCTGTTTTTTTTTTGTTTTGTTTTGTTTTGGTTATTCTCCGGTACCGGGAGCCGAACTCACGACCTTGCGCTTGCCAGGCAGGCGCTTTTGCCGCTGAGCTAAATCCCTAGCCCCTCTTTCTGTGTTTTTTGAGATGAGGTCTTGCTATGCAAGTTCCAGGCTGGCCTAGAACTTAAGGCAATTCTCCTGCCTCAGCCTCCTGAGTGTTGGGATTACAGGCGTGCACCACCATGTCCAGCTCAGATTCTTATGTGGTCTAATCATTACCCTCATTCTTGTCACAAAGTAGTCTGTTCTGTGTCAATAAGTCCAACATGACCTAGAGACCAGCCACTCCTCCGGCGGGCAGACCCCGACAGCTGCACAGGTCAGCGCCACAGGCCCAGCATTTTGCTGCCCAATCTCCAACTTCACCCCAACCCTTTGCTGCAGTGCCTGCCCGGGCCTCCTCACAGACCCCAAAGCCCAGCGAGGCTCTTCCATATTCATCTGCCCCCAGAGCACGCTGTATGCACGGAGGAAGTGGGTGGCTCTTGTCACTGTGTGTTGACCTTTTAATAGTGCTGACACTGTCACACATCTAAAGAAGGCGCACCCTTGTCTTCCTGACATAGACTTAGGTAAAGTGCTGAGCTAAAGGGTCAGCCAAATGCTCCGAAGCCTTTGGGAAGTAACAGCCCTTTCTGGGGGGCATGTGCATGCGTGTGGCTATGTTGTGCAGTTTGGCCCTGAATGTGCAATCTTCCTGCTTCAGCCTCCTAAGTAAGTGTGATTATAGGACTATGATATCATGTCCAGCTAAGGAAGTAACAGCTCCAGTGTTGCCATTTGGCCAGCTGGAGAAACATGTAGTGGCCCTCATTGGTCTTTCAGTCGACTCTCTATCCCATACGTACTTCAGCACCACTGGAGAAATAAGTGTAGTTTTTGGCATTTATCAGATGGATGGGTCTCGCTTACTGCCCAGACTAGCCCGGAGCTTCTGGGCCCAAAGGGTCTTCCTGCTTTAGCCACCTGAGTAGCTGGAGCTAAAGGCATGTGCCAGCGCACCTGGCCTATTCTTTTTATTTAGTAATGAATAAACAGTCCAATATTCTGGTATTAAGACTATTAATCAATTTTTGCTAAAAGTAGACAGATAAGCTGGGTGTGGTGGTACATACTTACAATCCCAGCACTCTGGGAGGCTGAGGCAGGAAGATCACAACTTCAAGCTGAGCCTGGACAATTTATCGAGACCCTGTCTCCAAAAAAAAAAAAGTAAATAAAAGGACTGGGGATGTAACTTAGTGCAAAGGCCTTGTAGGCAATCCCCAGTACTTAAAAAAAAAAAAAAAAAAAGCAGAGAGAACCAGTATTTAAAAACCATCCATGGTATACACATAATTATGATTCCTTCAAAAATATCCAGAATGTGTCCCAGACTCTGAAATATAAATGTGTTACTTTAACAGGGCTTGGGTTAATTTGTTAGATTCCAGAACAAGACAGTGTCCTGCGCTCCTCTGTATGGAAGTCGGACCTGACGCTGCCTGCAGCTCTCCAGCTGCCCTGCAGAACCTGCGCGGGGTCTGATGTCCTCTGCTTAACACGAAGTAAGCGCCACGCCTTTGAAGTTTCTAAGCAACACCAATGCAGATCATCGACGTGAAGCCGAGAAGCTGACGGGACACCTTCTAGAAAGAGAAACTTTCTCATTCATTCTGTCTTTCTCATCTGAGATTGTACGAGAAGTTGCCACTTAACAGGTCTGAGAGACATCAACTTTGCTTGTCTAACCGCTAAAGAGAAATGTATCGCTTCAGCACAAAAAGGGCGAAGAACCGCCCTGGGCATCGGGAGAGCGGGGCTTTACTGTAGGGTCCGTCAGCAACTAAGCTGCGCAGGTGCAGGGTGGGTGCTGGTATCCAAGCACCCCTCTGCAGTGCGGAAAGCTTGCAGTTCAGCGAGAGGCCGCTAGATGGTGGTGTTGTTCTGACTGAGCCTCTGGCTTTTTCCTTGTAATTACAGTGAAGGAAAAAGGCAGAGGTTACAAGATTTCCCATTAGTTCTGGGGAAAAAAAAAAAAAAAAATCACTGCCTAAGAATTCATTCAATGGCATTCAAAATGGCACGGAATCATGACCACACAAAAGTGAACAGACCCACTTAACTTTTTTTAAAACAGGGTCTCACTATGTGGTTCAGGCTGACTTTTTTTTTTTTTTTTAATCTTTTTGAGATAGGGTCTTACTATGCAGTTCAGACTGGTCTTGAGCTAATTTTGTAGCCCAGGTTGGTCCTGAACTTGCAACGATCTTCCTGCCTCAGCCTCCCAAGTGCTGGGATTACAGGTGTGTGCCACCACGCCCGGTTAAACCTTGAACTCACTATGTAGCCCAGGCTGGCCTTGCACACATGGCAAGCCTCCTGCCTCAAGCCTCCTGAGTGCTGGGACTACAAGCTTGTGCCACTATGCCCGGCCACGGATCCACCTGGCCCAAACATCCATCACTGTTTCCCCCAAGTATACTGCATGTATCCAAGAGCAAGAAACTGGGTAAGAACTACAGAATGACTGTCAGAAGTACTGATTTTTAACCCTAAGGAAAACGTTTTTTCAAATGTTAGTTCTCATAAACTGATACATCTATTGTTTTGTCTCTTTCTGAATGGTGCAGTCTGAATTCCAGACCTGTGATTTCCATGAGCTCAAGGACAGATAATTGCATTACCCCTCCAGCATATAAAGGACACCCTTTAAAGAAATACACTTTTAGTGCCCTAATAATATATTAAATGGCATCTCCAGTTTTAACAAATAAAAAAGATTCAGAGACACACAATTTAAGGAGGCTTAGACGAACATCAATTCTCACATAAAATGCCTTGAAGGAAACAGAATGTGTTCTTCTTTCTCACCTATGAGCTTCACTGGACATGAAAATTACGTTTTTCCTTAAATACGGAGTCTTCTCTCGCACTCGATACACAAATACGAAAGTACCTACAATCCCCCACTGGCTACGTTTGTGCTTGAGTGGGAAATAAACAGCAAGCAAGAAACAGCATGAAACAGTGAAACAGAATATGGTAACCATGAATTTTATTTCAATATAGACTTCTGTCAACAAATTAAAGAGGAATAACATTGAGTAAATCCAAGAGAGTATTGCTAAATGTGAAGTCATCCACCGACCCATCCACCCACCCAGTCCAGTACAAAGGACTGGAGACATAAAGGGATGTAAGATACCGTTCCCACTCTCAGAAAAACTCAGTGTAGCCTTAGAAAGGGACTTGGAGAACTTCGGTTCAGTTTATTATACTGTCAAGTAGATTTACAACTATTGCACTTATTCTGCTTACAGAAGGTCAGCATTTAAGAGGGATTTTTTTTTCCTCTAGTGAAGACAAGCTTTCAGACTCTTCATTATAAGATGTTACAATGACACAGGCAAAGATACACAGCTCACGTCCCCCTCCACACCTCTGCGCCTTACTGCTGACGTACAACTTGCTGCAAATGAGCACTGAGTTTAGGTAACGTTTTAATCCATTTCCCATGAAGTTACTTTTGAGAGAAATTCAACAAGGATTTTCTTTACACTCTTTTCTTTACTTAAGACACAGCTCCTGTACTCTAAAATCAAACATAGCCGTACACCTGGGGGATGAGCTTCGGTCAAGGACAGAGTAGATACTGCTTCCGTGCAGAACTCCGCATGGTGTTTAGCTAGTGCCGGGATCACTGGCTGCCTAGCTTTTTGGACAATGGGGGAAAAACAACAAAAGCTAAAAAAGTGGTCCAGCATATGAAACTCTTCTCGAGAACAGAAGAAAGTCACGAACATTGTTGGCAAGGTATTTTACATTTCCAATGAAATGTCATTCCACTGATCTGTCTGGAAGATTGTCTTCAACCTTTTTGGTTTGAGCCTGTAAATTGTAATTGATTCAATCAAAGAACCACTTTTATCTTCAGCTTGGAATGTGTGACAGTGCGTGGCAGGAAAGTGGTGTTTTGTTTCCTCTAATACTTGTGCGGAGACCAGCTGGGAAAGAGGTCCCAGCCTTCAGTCCTCTCAGATTATTTTCTTCTCTGATTATACTGCAAAGAAAGGAGCTGTGGGGTCTGGGAACGGCCTTCATCCCAATAGCTGCTTTGTACTCTAAGATAGCATATGTAATTTATAATGTACTGCTATAACAAGACACAACTTTTACATATGACTGGGGTAATGCAAGGAAAATGAATTTTCCTTTGGGTACCAGTAACTGTCAAAGGAATGACTGCAGAACCGGAAGATGTGCTGCTGGCATGTACACACCGAGGGAAGGACGGCACGTAGGTGGGAAGGTTAGTTGCATTAGAAGGCGTGTCGGACGGCTGTGGTTCTTTGCACTAAGTGAGACGCACCCAAGTTTGAACCCCTTCAAAGCCGTGGGCGAACAGTGACCAGGAACACAAGAGCATCTGGTGGGCGTGAGCTGACCTCACCATGTGCTCACAAATGCTCCCGGTGCTGCGTCCTCTACCGTCCCCAAGCAAGACTCTGCCCCGGCACGAAGGCTACTGTGCTCAAGCTGTTAGAACGAATCTGAGTATCAAAAGTGAAATTTAGATTACCAACCATGTCCTGATAGTTAGAGCACGTAGAACGCCACACGTCCCCTTTTTAAACTAAGAAATGAAGAACCGTGGCTAATTCATTTGTGCTAACTGAAACCGACGTCCAAGCGCGACTTCGCTTGTGAGCCACCCGGCCGCCGCGCCGCCGCCCTCCCCGGGGACACGCCCCTCCGCCCGCCCAGCCCCCCGCACGTTTCCGGTTCCCTCGGAGGTCCCTAGCTCGCGGCTCTCCGTGTGCGCCTTGCTTCTGCGAACGAAAACTGACCACAAAACCTGCAAGTTTTCTGCTTTCAGAAAATTCTACTGTACCATGTATACCTCACATATTTCTGCTTAAAAAAATAGTGCAAAAACATATCTGATAGTCGAAGTTGATAGTTCAAGTGAGTTCTCGTGCCAAGGAGCAGTCCACCTTCACCTTTAGCTGACTTGCAGAAACTGGACGTAGTTTTTGGGAAATATCCCAGATTTTCCCATTAGTTCTCCACTCATCCAGTCATCATCTACAGTTTCCAGCTCTGATATTATAGCTCCAGCCTGCAGGAAGACAGGAGGTGGGAATAATTATTGGTTTCTGTTGGGTATTAAAAGCATGGTGACTAGCCTACCCAGAGCAGCATGAATAACCTTCTCTGTAGAGAACTCATTCATCTTCAGTTGCAGAGAGCATTAAATGACACAGTGGTACCTTGGTTCACAGACTTAATTCTTCATGATTCTGGCTGCAGACCCAACTGGATGAGAGCAGAATCAGATTCAATGGGTAGGTTCAATGCTGACCTTACAGGGAGATTTCATTCAGTTCTCAGGCAATTCTGTTTGCAACCAGAATCGTGGAAAGCATTAAGTTCGGGAACCAGGGTACCACTGCACACCATAAAGAAAATTGGAATTTAATGATACCATTTGCTTGTATGCTTCTTTTCCTCAAACCCCACTCCCACCAGGCACAGCTATAGTCCCCACATTCTGAGAGGCTGAGACAGGAGGATCCCAAATTTGAACCCAGCATGGGCAACTTAAAAAATAAAAAGGAGTGGGTATTTGCTCATTGTGAAGACCCTGAGTTCAATCCCTAGTACCAGCAGACAAAGAAACAACTGACATTGTCAGCCCTGCTGCATTTTATTTTCCTGCTTGTAGTTTATACTTTCCAAATGGACAACTCCTCATCTAAAACCCCCCTCGGGTAACAGTGTCCGTTACACACACACATTCTCTCCTTCCTCTAGCAAGTATTTACTGAGCATTATTCTGTGCCAGACACAGTTCTGAGTGCTACAGAAACAGTGAGTGAAGGCCTCACCCTAGAGCGGGAGGCCAGGCTGGCAGAGGGGCAAGAGCGCGTGCTGACAACCTGTCAGGGCATCAGAAAGGGCACCGCTAATGGGGACATTTAAGTAGTGACCAAGAGATGCCAGCCACGGATGCCTTAGCGTGTGTCGTCCTACTGCATGCACTTCACGTTCGAACACGCTGCAGTCCTAGGGGGTTACTGCTATTACCCTCGTTTTAGGGACGTTTTCAGGACTTTAAAGAGAATGAAACTGATTTCTTAACTTTGCCAGCACTGCATGCACAGTGAGCGGTAGGACCAGCACTAAATTCTCATGCGAGTCCAGGACTTGTACTCCTATCCACCAGGCGATGGGGCCAACCTGTGACATGGCCCTGTTTACTGAGAAAGGCTCCCACAATACCTGCTTTTTATTACTTGTCCTGAGGATTTTGCACTCACATTGATTCTCACAGACAGAGGTATTTCTCCTGACATTTGGTTTATTCAATGCATCCCTGGTCTCTGTACATGTATCTCTGTATGTATTCAAATACATCCCAAGTGTGTATTTTTTCCTATCTTAAGAGGCTCACCCTGACTCAGAACACTGATTTATCCTCATCGGGTGCTCTGAAGGACTGTGTTTCACTCTTGTGCAAATTATAATCCCTTTAGCGGATGATCCTCCTGCCTCAGCCTCCTGAGTAGTTGGGATTACAGAAGTGTGCCACTGTGCCTAGCTACTGTTTTGTTCTTTATGGTTTTGTTTTTGTTTTTGTTTTTTTTTGGTTTTTTTGGTTTTTCTCCGGTACCGGGAACCGAACTCACGACCTTGCGCCTGCCAGGCAGGCGCTTTGCCGCTGAACTAAATCCCCAGCCCCTGTTCTTTATGGTTTTCTAATCATTTCCATACAATCTGGGTTTAGGATTCTACAATGAAAAACAAAAGAAAAAAATAAAGAATGAAAGCACAAGAAAGGACTCTACAATGTTCCAAGATGATCCGGGTTACTCTGAAAAATATCTGTATCAGGTTAAGTAGACTTTTATCTGCAGCCTTACTACATTGCGCTTCAGGAAAATGGGTTTGATTTAGACTTTTCTTTATGGAAAATGGAAAGGGAACATGTTGATTATCCCAAGTCATTAACTTACTCTGCTAGGATCTGTAAAATTCTGGCTATTGAAGGTTTCTGTTACAAGTATGTTCCTAAATTACACCATAGTGGATGGCCCAAGTTAGTTTTCTTAGCTCTGGTCCATACCCACATACCAGGTCAGTTTCCAGAGGCTAGAATTATTTTTAAAATGAAGTTCTAGGGGTTGGGGATTGAGCTCAGTGGCACAGCGCCTGCCTGGCAAGCACAAGGTCGTGAGTTCAATTCTTGGTACCGGAAAAAAACAGAAAACAAACAAACAAAAAAAATAAAATGAAGTTCTACCTACTAACATTCTGTGGATAATAAAATATTAATGACCAATACTACTGAATCCTAGGCAGAGTCCCTTAACAAAAGCCTCAGAAGCCTGTGTGGTGGCACCTGCCTGTCATCCCCAGTACTCTGAGAGGCTGAGGAAGGAGGACTGGGAATTTGAGCCCAGCCACGGCAATTTAATGACTTAGTGAGACCCTGTCTCATAATAAAAATATGTCTAAAACGGGCTGAGGATGTAGCTCAGTGCAAAGACCCTGGGTTCAATCTGCAATGCTGCAAAAACAGAAACAAAAACAAAAAATCTTCACAGTTCGAGTCTACTTCTGGGAAATGAAGCCAGCAGGCTCTCTGGAGGGCACTAAGAATCCTGTTATTTAACTTGATATAACTGAAAGGCCAGAATGACATCCAGAAAGTCTGAACTCCGATTCTTCATTTGCAGTACCACTTTAGGTAAAGGAGACGACTAAGTTTTCAGCCAGACTCTCAAGACTGAAAAGGATGAAGGCAGAAGTTTTCAAACTTGTGGATGTTAAAGATCAAGACTATTTTTTAAGGAAAGGAATATACGGCTACTGATTTAACTTTGCACAGTTAACAGGTAGGATATAAGCATTATCTATCGTTTGCTGTTTTTTATAACAGAAACGACATTTTAATATAGACAGGCGAGCACTCTCAGGACCGGACACAGCTCCTCCTGCCTCCCCCTGCAGGCCCGCACACACTAGCGTGGACGAGGGAAGCCTTGTTTGGCACTCGCTGTTTTTTGTCTCGCCTGGCCCAAGCGTTCCTCTAGATGTGATTCTCTGCCACTCGCCGAGCACCGTCCGACCCAGTTCCTGTGAGCTGCCCACGCCCCAGCGAGGCCCCAGTACTGCCCCGAGTGCTTACTCTGCCTGTGCCCTGACTGTGGATGAGCAAACAGAACCATGGGGCTTTTGCAAGAGGCACAGTGTTGGTGAAGTAAGACTGGGATTCTATGTTAGGCTTCTTAAAACCAAACACACCTTTCCAAAATAGCTCAACCTTTGATCAGTGCTTTTTTACACACATCTTGCTATGTAGTCCAAGCTGGCCTTGAACCCATACAGATCTTCCTGCCTCAGCCTCCCAAGTCTGGGATAACAGGCATGTGCCACTGTGCCTGGCTAGTCAGTGTTTTTGTGGACAAGAATGTAGACTCTTAGGAGGCAAACAGTAGCAGCAGGCAGCGAGGGCATGTAAGGATCGTCCTTCATCAGGGTGAGGATGCCCATATTCCCGGGAAAGCGAAACTCCCATACCACTGACATCTGATGGTACAAAGCCAAGGAACAAGGAGTTCCTTTGAGGACTATGGGACTGTTAGGCCAAGGATGTCTCTAAGTTCCTAAATGACTGACTGATCGTGTAACTTCTCAGCCAGGTTTGCCTCTTTCACTTTCTCTACTGCCTTGCCCGACAATTAGGCTCTGAGAGCTCTTCATTCTGAGGTAAAAATTGACATTCTGCCCAAATATTCTACCTTTCAGTGAAGACATCTCAAAATCTCTAGTGCTTACTGCAGATATAAGAAATGCCTGCTCTGACCTTGAAGGAGAGTTCATCTTCATTCTCCCCGTGGAAGTCGTACAAGGCTTTGGCCTTCCTCCCTTTCAGGGCTGTGGCAGACATACTTTTCGCCTCAGCTGCAAAGACACCAAAAATCCAAATATATTGAAAGAAACGGGCTGCATCATTGATTAAGCATTTTAAGAAACCCCTTTCCATTTTAAACTAATTTTGAACTTATTTAACTTGCAAAATGATGAAGGATGTTCTTGTAATAGAAAATAAGATACAAGATACATTTAGTAGACAAAATTCGCCGTTATTGAGTGAAGGCATTTTACTTTCTTTTCCGTAACTCTAACAAAGCAGTATGTGAATGAAGTTTGCCTAACTTTATGGATCGGTTCTTTCCAATGCAGGAGCACAAACTGTGAGGCTGAGGGAAGAGAAATGTCCACAGCTCAGAGGTGCCAGGCTCAACGGGTGTGCCCCGCGGCCGTCCTACCTGGGCAGGGCTGCACGAACACCGCCGGGAAGGTCCCCTCCCGGTCGCGCAGTCGGCCCCGGTACCAGTCGGAGTCCAGCCGCTCGAGGATCAGGATCCGGTCTCCCCTCCTGAAGGATAAGTCGTCACTGGTCTCGGCTGTAAAGCTGTGGAGGGCTCTGCACCATTCTCCAGAAAGGCTGTTCTCCTGTTACAGAGCCAAAGTCTGGTAAGAATATGAGGTTTTCTTTTGAGCTGTACAAACCCTTAAAAATAGTGAGGAATAAAAGCTAAGGAGTTACAAGACTTCAAAGCCTGGAGGGTTCTTTAAAATACCTAGTACTTTATGGTGCTATCAAGTTTAGGAGTAAGTTTCCAATAACTTTTCCCTTGAAATATAACTTTAGATGACAAGTGGGACATAATTTGTGGCTTTGCTGTTTTTAAGGGATATATAATGCTTAACCAAAAACCTTTTCTTCTTATATTCTATATGAATTAAAATTATTTAAAAGCATCAAATACTTACTCATAGTGTTTATGACACAAAAACTTTTTTTTTTTTTTTTTGGTTTTTCTCTGGTACCGAACTCACAACCTTGCACTTGCCAGGCAGGCGCTTTGCTGCTGAGCTAAATCCCCAGCCCCCACAAAAACTTCTGACAAAGTAATTTTCGGGGGGCTCTTTATCTAAATTGGGGAGGATCAGCGGATGGTCTGTTAATCCTCACATCTTCACTTGATTCAGATATGATCAGATTCCTTAGCTTAGACTTTAATAAGTCACACTTTGTTTGTTTGTTTTTGTTTTTCTTCCGGTACCAGGAATGGAACTCACGACCTTATGCCTGCCAGGCAGGCGCTTTGCCGCTGAGCTAAATCCCCAGCCCCAATAATTCACACTTTAAAAAAAAAATCACACTTCTAAGTTTTTGAGAGGCAGTTCATGTACTCATGAGGATTACCACCCAGATCTGGCGTGCTGCTAAGATGGAGTGCTCCAGTAAGAACGTTTGCACCCCAGATACATCAGGAAGGGCTGCTCTCAGAGAGGCACCTCTGCCCCGTGGGATGGGAACCGACACTGAAGAGATTCTAGCAGGGGGCCGAAGATGTAGCTCAGGAGCAGAGCACTTGCCTAGTATGCAGGAGGCCCTGGGTTCAACCCCCAGCACTGAGTGAAAAAAGGAAAACGCAGTCCCAGTAGGTAGCAGAGGAAAACAGTAAGAGCAAAGCTTTGGGTCAAGTAGGCGAAGGCTCTGGACCTAACTCGGGCACCTCCTAGCTTCACAACACTAAGCAGCTCATCTCGGAGCCCCAGCACCCAGTAAGTGCTGCTGCGAGATGAAATGAGATCACGCATACAAAGCAGCTGGCACCGTGCCTGGCGTATCCTCTAAATTCTCAATAATCCTTGGCTTGTAAGACAAAAACAAAAACCAAGCAAATGACAAACCTGAGCCTGAGCCTCCTTGCACCTGCACTTCAGTAACCAGCCCTCAGGACCGGAGCTTATCACTCCTCAACTGCAGGCAGGCGCACAGCATGTCCTTTCGGAGAACGGCAGTCAGTGTTTTTTGTTTGCTTGAGCGGTGGGTAGGGATGGAAGAATTCAGAGCCGCACAGCCCAGTTGGAAGCGATGTTTTGACAAACACAACGAGCCCACCAGGCTCACTCCTCTAAGTACATCCTCCCAAACAACGAAGTTACCACACCCCCGCTACCGTCAACACTTCCGGAGTCAGGTTAAACAGTATAAAGACCTTCCCACCATAAAAGTCACACCAATGTTCTCAAATATTTGGAACATTCAGAAATGTATTAAGAAGTGGGGAAAAAACCTGCTTATGTATCAGATCTTATACTGAGAGGCAATTTATTTGTTTTTGAGGTAAGGTGTTGCTATGGAACTCAGACTGGCCTCAAACTCACTGTGTAGCCCAAGTTGACCTTGAGCTCACAGCAGCCTCCTGCCTCAGCCTCCTGAGGAATACAGGTAGAATACAGGCATGTGCCACCATGCCTGGCTCCAAGGAGGCAATTTAATGTTCACAATTTAAATATACAGTATTTCCTTCTAGTTTTTTCGATGCTACACATTGAATTCTCCTTTCTCTGCCTTCTTCCTACGACATTTATTTTATAAATTTAGGGTCGTGTGTATGTTTTGTCTTCAGGACTGAACCCAGGGCTTTCGCACTGAACTACGTCCTCAGCCCTTTTTTATCTTGAGGCAGTCTCACTAAGTTGCCCAGGCTCGGCTCGAACTTGGATCTTTCTGCCTCAGCTTGGCAGTGATGGGGTTACAGGCACGTGTCACTACACCTGGCGCTTTATAAAATCTAGGTTTTAACAGATTCGAAACATTCTACCAATAATGGTCATATTTAGGTATTTCAATTTTTTCCTATTATTTTAATATCATAACCATCTATGTGACTAAAACTTTGTCTCATTTTTTATCCCTTTCTCAGTGTATAAATAATAACTTGCACTTTTTTTTTTTTACAGTACAAGCTTATAATTACTTGATTAGTATTGAGTTGTACTGACTTGTTAAATGAATAGGTTAAATGGCTTTTTATTGCCACTTTATCATGTATTTCCTTGATTACTAGTAAGCTTAACTTTTTAAAAATATTAGTCATTTATTATATCTTCATCTTCTTTTTTTTTTTTTTTGTCTTTTTGAGATAGGGTCTTGCTATGCAGTTCGGGCTGGCCTTGAACTCACTTTGTAGCCCAGGCTGGCCCCAAACTTGCAACGATCCTCCTGCCTCAGCTTCCCAAGTGCTGGGATTACAGGCTACAGGTGTGCGCCATCACGCCTGGCCTATTGTATCTTCTTAAATGAATTCTCCAATTGTGTCTTTCCCCACTTTTGTTTGTTTTTTTAAAGAGACGAGGTCTTGTTCTGTCGCCCTGCCTAGAGCAGCGGCTACCCGTAGGTGCAACCCCTCTGCTGGGCAGCAAAGCCACCTGGTAGGCCTGCTCCTGGGGAGCTGACCACACGATGCCCAACTAGTGCAGAACCTGACAGCATGTAACACCACAGCCCTGAACTCCTGGGCTCAAGCAATCCTCTGTCTCAGCCTCCTGAGTAACCGGCACCATGCCCAGCTTCCTGCCTCACTGTCTACCCGGGCTCGCATATCTTCCCCCCACCCGCGCATGTCTTTCTGTGACTCTGTTTACAATCTATTAACCACTTAACTCAACTACTGTAAATGCGTGCTATATAAACGGGAAAGTGATTTCATACTATTTTCTCTTGGTAATTAAAATATTCTTCCCAGGGGTTAAACCTAGCTGTCTCTACAGTTATCCACTCAAGCAGCCCACCTGAGAATCTGAGCCAGAATCTTCTTTTTTGGTTTTCAGTGGTACCTTTGTGCCTACATTAAAAAAAAAAGTCACAATGTCAGAGGAACAGACTGCAGTATTAGAAAGGACTGAGTCAGGGCGAGTGCAGGTCTGGGGCTCCAGCCTGAGGCATGCTTCCTTCCTTGCCTGCACCCCTCTCTCCAGGACTGTTTACTCCACGAGGGGACACGCGAATTAATTAATTAAACTCCACAGCCCATTTCTGTTTGAAAGCCCTTGCCATTTCTTATATGAAGCTGTTGCTAATTATTCAAAACAAAAATCCAGCTCTTTGAACCATAGTAATGACTACCCCATGCAAATAACCACTTGAAATAATTTTTCCTTTTACCTTAAAAAGCACAGTAATGTGGTTATATCGTCATGCTACTGGTTTACTTGAATTAGGGCACAACAAAAACCGTATTCCCTGTACTCACTTAAAACATCTGCTCCAGAGGAGGGGTGATCCTCAATGAGCTCCACGAAGTTCAGGGGAAAAAGCCCAGTTCTGTCTCCAAGCTCTCCTCTGGCCCACTCCTCATTCACATACTCTTTAAGAAAAATGATTTCTCCCTCTGAGAAACTTAACTCATCCTTCTGATCTCCAATATATTCAAACCGAGCAATGCATCTTGGGTCTCTGAACAAAGAACATATCTGTGGGTTAGAGAACACATACGCACGCGCGCACGCACACACACACACACACACACACTTATTCTAAACAAGAGGTTTTAGTTGGTTTTATTTTCAGTTCCCAAGCTGGGCACCACTTCACCCCATAAAGCAATCAGCGCTCCCTAGTGCTAATTCTTAACATGTTTTAAACCTCCATTCAGTCTTTCAATAAATGTTTTCTCTGTGTGCACTATGAAGCGAAGTAAACTTGGATAACTTTTAAGTTTTCTGCAAGAGTGACACGTGTAAAGGACAGGACTATCTTTTTATCTTTTTTGTTGCTTTTTTTCCGGTACAGAACAAAAAAATTGAACTCACGACCTTGCGCTTGCCAGGCAGGCGCTGTGCCGCTGAGCTAAATCCCCAGCCCCAGGACTTACTTTTTAGACATGACATCCTCTCAGAAAAGCTGAAGCTCAAGGGCACAGAGCATGCAGTGGGGGCTCAGCTTACACCGTCACTTCTGTCTTTGACGCTGTTTACTTCGTTACCAAACCTCCCCACACACTATGTGTCTGTGTCCTGGGGCGGCAGCAATCGTGGCCACTGAGCCCTTTCAGTCACAAGTGCACCGTGCGGAGGAGAGCTGGCCCTGAGCCTCCCTCCCCTCAAGATTGAGGGCAGCCTGTTAGGGCATCGGCTCTGCAGAGAAGCACGATATGTGCCGAGCCAGCCAGCGAGTCAGATGTGTAGGAAAATAGCTACACACAGGAGGCGAAGGCGCAATGGAAGCAGACACTTGCCATTCAATCTTCTACCTAACTGCTGCTTTACAAAATAACTCCTCCTTTCCCCCTACTCTTTATTTTTTTGCTTTTATTGAGAGAGGGTCTGCTATGTAGTTCAGGCTAACCTGAACTCACTATGTAGCCCAGGCTGGCCTCAGATTTACAGTGATCCTCCTGCCTCAGACTCCCAAGAGGTGGGAGGGATTATAGGCATGGGTCACCACACCCAGCTTTGATTCCAGGATCTTCTTTACAAAAGTCTTTGCTTCTGCTAGGTGTGGTAGCACAGGCCTGTAATTCCAGCATGTGCAAGGCTGAGGAAGGAGGATGGCTGGGAGCTCAAGGCCAGCCTGGGCTACATAGTGAGACCGGGTCTCACAAAACAAAACAAAACAGCATTGTTTCTGACTCTTGGAACAATTCTTAACTAAGGTGCAATTCTGACTGAAAAGAGTATAAAAGCAGAGATGAAATTCTGTCTCTAGAAGGTATGATTTAATACCAAACTTTTGAGACCTCACAAAGCAAGTCTCAGTAGCAAGAAGCTAAAGACCAGCAACTGCCTGGAGAGATGAAGTCGGTCCTAGCTCCAATCATATTCTGGCTTAAGCTGGGTCAGTGGGTCAATGGCTGTTCAGGCCCACTTTAAACTCCATCAGCTGACATGGTATATGCTGCTTAAAAACAGGAACAAACTGAACCCGAAATAAAATCCAACTGCCGTGGCGTCGGAAGTTTTCTTATTTGTGATAACCTTTGCATTTATTTTCTCAAGTCCCCTGGGAGCATCTCCTTCTGTCTGACCTATTCCTAGACAGGTTTACAGTCTTCACCAGGTAGTGAATCCTATTAACTTCCTCATTTAACTAGAATATAAAGTTGCACTGTGGCAGGGTTTTAAATCACAGAGGAGTTACAACGATGCCTAAGAAGGTATATAAATTCATGCAAAGGTCTTCATGCACAGAGGAGGACCCCTTCAATTTAATTCTTCCTTCACTTCTCCCAGCTCTCTAGAACAGAACAATATAAAATGTCTAGGAGGGTTCTGTTTTGTTTTGCAGTGCTGGGGCCTCATTAACGGCAGGCAAATGCCCTCTGCTCCTGAGTGGCACCCCTGTCCCATCTAGCAGTTTCCCAAGATTCACATTAGTATGAGATTTATTTTCTGTGACAAAAATAGTAGAATTTTCTAAAAATCTGTTGGTAGATAAAAACTAGAAGGCTGAACTAAAATGCACTGGGGACCAAACCAGCTCTGCTCTGGGTCAGGCCAGGCTGTGGCACACAGCAGGCCAGACGCCACTTGGCTACTTTCCCCAAGGACTGCATGGAGAGCTGCTTAGGTTCGTTTCTATCAGCAAGTTGTATTTTCATCAGAAATTTACTCACTTTTAAACAAGTCAAGCTTTCTTCATAATTAAAAAGGCACCGAGAAGTCAGGCATGGTGGTATATGCCTGTAATCCTAGCACCCTGAGAGGCTGTGCAAGTAGGATTGAAAGTCTGAGTCCTACCTTGACAATTTAGTGAGACTCTGTCTTGGAAAAAAAAAAAAGATTGGGGATATACCTTAGTGCAAAGGCCCTGAGTTCAATCCCCAGTACTGCCAACAAACAAATAAACATCCCAGCTGGGCATGGTGGTGCACACCTGTAATCCCTGTACTCAAGAGGCTGAGGCAGGAGGATTGCCATAAATTCAAGGCCAGACTGGGCTACCTAGTGAGTTCAAGGCCAGCCTGAACTATATAGTGAGACCTTATCTGAATAATAATAATAATAATAATAATAATAATAATAGAACCCCCATCAACAAAACAGATACTGAAGATCTGAGTTATCACACATTAGAAGGTTTAAGCTTAGTATTCTTCATGAGCTACCTGCTTGCTTCCTTTCATTTTGCGCAAAAGAAAAATAAAACTTACGCATTAACACAATGAGATGAAACAGATTCTCTTTTCCCACTTCCTCCTTCTGGAATATCAACCTAGTAAAAGACAAAACCATGGTAACAACTGCATTTTCCCCCCACTTTTTAATAAGGTTAAGGCCAAGTTAATTAGGAAACGCATGATTGAAATCAGCCAGTAAAGTTAAGCCTTTAGTACAACAGGTGCTAAACAGCAAGAAATCCTAAATTTGTGTTTTGAACATAAGTTACAGCTTGTGCTGTAGCCCTCCTTGGATAGACGGAAAAATCCTCTTATTAGCTGGAATAAGCGTATTAGTGGCATTCTACCCTTGGTGGTTTTCTCCCATGATCTCCAACCTGAAAACTTCAGCTGAAAAGGATTTAAAATAGAAACCAAGCTGGGAATAGAGGTGTTTGTCTGTAATCCTAGCACTCCGGAAGCTGAAAGGCAGGAGGATCCTGAGTTCAAATTCAGTATGGGTGACAACAGCAAGACCCTGTCTCAAAACATAAAATAGAGCAAACAAAAGGACAGAAACCAGTCATCAGGCATTCGTGCTGTCACTCAGCAGTGCTACCACAACTATTCAAAGAGGTAGCAGGATTCTGCAATACCTTCTTGACCTCTAAATAAAACAATGTGGCGAAACCTGTGGCTTCTTTCCGTAATTCAGGAACGTTTTTTCCCCTTCAGTGTGAACAAGGAAGAGGGAGGGGAATTCATACTAAACAAGCATCTATTAACTCGCAGGCACTTTCCATCACACTTCATTTACAAGGCTCAGAAAGGCTGGGCTGTAATAAAATTCCTGGCCATGTGCATGCAGTCTGAAACTACTTCAGGCCACGAGGTTTGTGTTAAATAAATCAGGGCCCCTCTTGATGAATTCTCCAAGTTTGAAGTTTTAAAACAATTTTTTAAACTTGTGGGCTTAGAAATAACATTTATACCAATAATGTGGCAGATTCAGTGTGATTGATTTCAGTGTGGTAATTGTGCTTTTAAAACTACTGCTACATTGGGCAGAAGAAAAATGAGGAAGAATGCTAAAGCTAACATTATTCTTAATATTAATTTAGAGAATGTGGTGAATTTCTCCGAAGAATCAGGCCATGCATACAGTAAATAACTTATAAGACCTGTATTTCATTATCCAAGAGACTCAAACTCATTTCTATTTGAAAATACGGAGTTTCTTATACTTGTTTCCTAAATTTCGGATGTAATGGAAAATTATTTTCTTTTTCCCCTCAAATAAGCTGTTAATGCTAACTACGTAAGCTAGTGCTGCTGGTGCTTTGCAGTATCGGTAAGTTATATTCAGGGCTGGGTCACAGGCTTCCTGCTAATGTGGAAGTCCGAGGGGGTCTCGTTGTATCCTCCTGATCGACAGTCCCTTGGGTACAGCACGGGTGTGCTCATGGGTCAGGCTGCAAGAGTCTACAAGATCCTAATGCTTTAATATGTTTATTTCACCAGTCAGACTTCAAATTATGTGGAAAACCACCAATGGACTACTACATTCAATAGAAATATTTTTCTGTATTCCCAAATTGAGTTTTTTTGAAAAATGGAGATAAATGGTGAGAGATAAAGAAAGCAAAAATAAATGCACTACAAAGAAAATGAGAAGTGGTAACAGGACTTCAGAGAACACTCCCTTCAGGACAATCTAGAACCATTTCATTCGTGTTCACTAAACGTGTCAAAGAATTAATATAAATCCTTAAGTGTTTAGCAAATCTCTAACAGTATCTAAGTCACCAATTGACCTGTGATGACCTTTCACTTTATAATCCAGACAGATTAGACATTACATTATAATGCTTAATCGTTACCTAGTTAAACAAAGCCTTTATTTTTAAATTTTTTGTGGTACCAGAAATCAAACTCATGACCTTGCACTTCCAAAGCAGGGGCTGTGCCGAGGAGCTATATCCCTAGCCCAGCTTTTTATTTATTTCAGCCTTTATTTTTGAATTTTCTAAATTCCAAATGAATCAATGAAAGAAAGAAAACTAGAACTCAAGAATAGGGGAAAAAAACTGAACTGAGATGAGTCATGTACAGGTACAAAGTCCCTAGGATGAAAGTGCTCATTATGTATATTTAAAATATACCAATAAACTTAATTAATTAAAATAGAACAATGACTCTAGGCTTTTAGCTGTTTTTTTTCAACAAGTACCACTGCAGCCACACAGCATCTGACCAAATGAAATAGGCCCCGCCCACTTACGATGACTTTCACGTAGCTGGCCGGAAGCACACCGGTCTGGTTTCTGCACTTTCCTCTGTACCAGTCTGCATCTATTTTTTCGAGAAGATACACAATTTCTCCAGATGTGAGGTTCAGATCATCAGCTTGCTCTGTAATATCACAGTCTAGTGACATATGGGAAGTAATCCTGGTTGCAGATTTGATTAGACAACAAGGTAGTACTTAGTTCTGTCCACTAAGGTGGTATGTTCCATTGATTAGAAAACAGATTATACTAGTCAAACTGACTTTTTGAAAGAAAGTGTTCTGAATTTTGACATTATGAGCTCGCTCTCCTAAGATCAAATTAGTTGCATCTACTATGCATTGATGAATGGGGAATAATGTTTTTAAAGCTATTACGTTGGCCAGTGATTCCTACTGGTGCCAATATAAATCTCTTGTTGAATATACAGTGAGTAATGAAAGGGCTTTATAGACATGGTATATTATCACTACTCTCATTCAGGCTTAAAATCATTTCAACTTCAAATATTAACTAAGGGAGTACTATAGCTCTTTGGCAAGTGAATTTATCCACACTAAAATACACTTTACCAAGTGTATAAAATAAATAAATCAAGAGTTTATTTCAGGGCTGGTGATGTATCTCGGTGATAAACTACTTGCCTAGCATGTGTGAGCCCCTAGGTTTAATCCCCAGCATTGAAGGGGAAAAAAAGTTTATTTGTAGTCTTGGGTATGAATGGTATGTAAAAATGGTTACTAAAATTAAGCATTTTGATCTCATAGATAAGTAGGGATAAGACAATTTAGGACAAAAGAACTTCACTTATTCAACTAGAACTGAAACTTTACTACAAAGACAGTTAGTACCCAGTATTATGAAAGAGTTAAAAAGGTTAGCCCAGGTGCAGTAGCACACTCCTACAATCCCAGCACTGAGGCAGGAGGATCGTTGTGCATTTGAGGCCAGCCTGGGCTACAAAGTGAGCTCAAAGCCAGTCTGAACTGTATAGTGAGACCTTGTCTCAAAAAGACCAAAAAAAAAAGAGAGAAAAAAAAAAAAAAGGAAAAAGTTAATTTGCTATTGTCCCCCACCCCCAGGGAAGTGTATGTAACCGAGCTCTCTGGAATGGCCGGGCTCAGTGTTCTTTCCTAAAGGCAGAACACTGGAGAAGGTACCATCTCCAGTCTAGGATCTACAAGCACAGAGAAGAAAGATTAACCAGAGGAAGATGTCTCACTTCTGGACCCTATGGCTCCATCAAGTTATTATTTATGCCCTTACCTGCTGGAAAATCATGAAGAACAACAGCATGAGGAGTATTACTGTCAATAGGCTTCTGAGCATGGCTTGAATCCTTAGGGGTCAAACAGGGCTGCAAATGAAGTGAAAGGATAGATGCTGGATTTATGCACTCAAAGATGGTCTTAGCTACTTTTCTCATGGCTAAGACAAAGTATCTGACATTCACGATTTAAAGGAGGAACAGTTTATTTTAGCTCACAGTTTGTAGAGATTTCAGTCCATAATTGGCTGGCTCCAAAGGCAGGGTGGCATGGCAGAGAAGCATAGCAGAGGAGAAACAGCTCATGGCAGGGAAGGCAGAAAAGCAGCAGCAGCAGCAGCAGCAAGCCTTCCTTTGACTTGTATCCCATCCAGGTTACAAGCCTACTGGATGGGGCCAGCCACATCTGGGGTGGGCCTTCCCAATACCCATACCCAGAACTAAGCTAAATCAATCATTGGACTAATTTAGTTATCGCAAACTCGAGATTCAGCCACCTCTGAAAAGTCCCACCTATGAGTGCATGAGGCTTTGGGGACATCTACATATAACTCATATACAAGCCATAACAAAGACCAGTCCTCTTTTTCCCCTCATTAGAGTTCTCTTGACACATTACAAGATGCAAACCATATAGGCGAGCAAAATGAGGGAATTAGTATCAAACTGAGAAAAAATGTCTTTTTGTCATGGAGGATAGAAATAACTCTCAAAACCTCTAGCACACATGCACACATCTATCCATCTACTGTCCCCCCGCCATTTCTTCCTCGCTTGCTTTCTCCCAGAAAGTAAAACAAAAAGGAACTCAAGTTAAAAAAGACAAAAAAACCAATGGTACTTATTCTATCTCAAAGCAGTGTTTTTTTTTGTGTGTGTGTGTGTTTCTTTTTGAGACAGGGTCTTGCTGTGTAATTCAGGCTGGCCTTGAGTTCACTATGTAGGCCAGGCTGGCCTCGAACTCATGGTGCTCTTCTTACCCCAGACTCCTGAGTGCTGGGATTATAGACGTGCACCACCATGCCTGGCAAAACAGTGGTTTTTTTTAAAACCTCTTTTCCTTTCAAGCTAGTTTTTTCCTTACTGTGCCCAGGATTAAACCTTTATGAACAGAGCCTTAAAAATTGTATGTTTATTAGGATGAGAAAAGAAGAAAGTTCTGCAATTTATATTCTATTTGTAATGAAAGGAGTTAATGACTTCCCACAGAAGTATAATTCACAAAAAATAAAATCCATTTCATTTATTACCACTTAACTGAATGCTTTCTCTAATTTGAAAGCAATGCTACCTCCCATGCCTGGCCTGGATTTCCAATTTGGTTTGACTGGTTTATTTTGCAGTAATTCTAAGTAAATTAGCAAAGAGAATGTAATATTCTCCACCCAAAGCCAGCGGCCTACATGGGCTGAGGAGAGGGTAAGATTGAGGAAAGGCCTTTCCTTATCGACAAGCAGTTGCTTGTCGATAAGCCCTTAGTTTCTTTACACAAGAAGACAAGCTTATCATTGTCGTGGTCAGCAAATCCGACTTCAGGGTGTTATCTGGAGTTAAACTTCAAACTCTCACTGGGCACAGTGTTTCACATCTGTAAGTCTAGCACTTAGGAGGGTGAGGCAGGAAGACTGCAAGTTCAAGACCAGCCTGGGCAACTTAAATACAAAATCAAACAACTCTTCAATTAAGGTAAACCTGCAAAATAAATGAAGGCTGATTTTTGTGCTTTTTGTCTCTTCACCCTGTCAGTGATTCCTGTGCTCTCAGCCGCACCCCAGCACTTCTCTCTGCCCCTCCCCTGGCCAGGATACCGCGCTGTGAATAAGGCTCCACTCTCCCTTCCCGCCCTGCAGCGCCTCTGCTTGGATCTTTCCTGAATCTCCAATGCTCTTTCAACCACAATGCACCACGGAGGCAACCTGTATTTTCTTAGATTAGGTAAACTGAAGTATGATCTAAGTCAAGATGGTAAGGGCTAATGTGGCTCACTCTATCAGCTTTCTGAGGTCACACTCACATTTTCTTAGGGACTGCTCAACGCTTTTCCCTAAATAAATGAGCAACACGGGAGTTTCAGGAATTGTGAAAAGGAGCTGGGTGATGCTTTAGATTTGGAGTAGCTTTAAATTTTCTTTATTTATGCAATTAATTTTATGTGTGTATGTGTGATTTTCATTTTTCTTACATCTGTGGAGAAAGGAGTGACTACGCAATAAAGGACGTTAGGCTAGATGGCACTTATTTGGATAAAAAGAAATCAGAGATCTACCTCACACCCAACACAAATATTAGCCTTTAAAAATATACAAGATGGTTATACTACTAGTTTCTCTTAGTTCACTGAAAAGAAAGTGAACTAAGTATTTTTTGGAGAATTTTTATGCCCATATCTTATATTCTGAGTGACTACTTTGAAGGTAATAATATGCAATTTATTAACTACTGTTATTCTCCTATTATTGTTTTTTTTTCCCTCATTAAAAAAAGGGACCAAAGATCTAAACAGGAGCAAGCCGGGGAGATAGGGAAGGCAATGTGTGCCCCCCAAGTACAGGTCCCTTCCTTGCCTTCAGTGGACGGACATCCTGGGGAATGGTGTCCATCAGCTGGGCTGATAGATGAAGGGTAAGTGAAGCAGGCTAGCCAAGGCTGCCCACCAGTGGTCAGCACAGGGCCACCACACCATCAGCATGCAGATCTGGCAGGTAAACCTAGTATTTTCCAATCACTGCTAATACAAATGGCATTATACGAATACAAATAGCTAATATTTATTGTTCCTTTGCTGATGCCACGCACCTTGATAAACACCTTTTAGTGGTTTAGATTTGAAATGCCCCTAAAACTCATGTGCCAAATGCTGAGCTTCTGAGAAGACAATGGATCATGAGGGCTCTAACTTCACCAGCGGATTAATCCTCTAATTTGAGGACATTATGGCAGGGAATGCACACAGGCGGGGGACCTGGTCGATGGGGGTGGATCATGGCAGTGCGACCACGAGAACTGCACCTGGGCCCTGGCCCCTTCTTCTCTGCCCTTTCCCACAGTCTGCATCTGGGCTGCCATGAGGGGAGCAACCTTGCTGCACCATGACCTTCTGCCAAGATGCTCCGCCTCACTCCAGGCCCACAGCAATGGAACCACCCCATGAACTCAAGTCTCTGACAAAGTAAGCTAAAATTGAGCCACCAGTTGTTTTTATAAGGTATTTTGTCACAGCCAAGAAAAGCTAACACCTTATATGCATTAGCTCATTCAAGGATCTTTGAGATTTGACTCATGCATAATAAAATCCAGCTGTTTAGTGCACACGGTTTTAGTACATCCACAGAATTGTTTAAAAATCGGTATAACCGAATTTTAACTTATAACTTCATCACCTGTTCATCAGCAGTCACTGCCCACGCACTCTCTCCTCACCCCAGACAACCACCAGTCTACTTCCAGTCTCTATGGACTCACCTTTTGGATTTTTTATACAAATGGAATCTTATATCAATTCTAAAAACAACTCTGTGCGGTTATTACTTCACACATTAAAAGATGAAGTGGAGAGGGTTAAATAATTGCCTCAGGTGATGGAAGGGGCCAAACCCCAGCTTCCAGCAACACGGGCCTGTTATCTCCATGATACCCTCTGCAAGATCCCCTTTTTCCATGATCTGTAGGATTTAACTGCAACTGATGCTTAATACTGTATTTGCCGTATTAGAGGAATGTATTAGAGATATTTATCTAAAAGGAATGTATTAGAGATATTTATCTAAAAATGAGGCTTTCAAATAGTTAAGTTTTATTTTTCTAAGAAATGTAGTAATATCCAGCAGCCCAAAATCCTAAATGAAAATTCACTGTCACCAATAGAGATAATGACATGGCCACTTCAGGACATTTCTCAGTGTACAGCACAAGTTAGAAGGTGATGTTTAAAGTGGAAAACTGGACAGTTATAACTTCTATGTGTGTGGTGGTACACTCCTGTAATCCCAGCACTCTGGGAGGCTGAGGCAGGAGGGTTACAAGTTAAAAGTCCAGCCTGGGCAATTTGGCAAGACCCTACCTCAAAAGAAAATATTTTAAAAAGGCACAGGGGTATAGCTCAGTGCAAAGGCCCTGGGTTCAATCCCCAGTATCATCACTACCACCACCAAACACACACACACACACACACACACACACACACACACACACACACACACACAAACACACACAAAGGATAGCTCCCATTGCAACCATCAGTGTATTCTGAGAGAGGAAGGGCAGCAATGACAGATGGACAAAGCTATACTGAAACATATTCACATGCCAGATGCAATTAGCTGAATACACTGCTGTCTCTGCTCCCCTAAATATAAATGTTTCATTTCTGAGAAAACTTCAGAAGACAAACTGCCTTCTAAGAAGAAAGAATTGGATTAGATCATGGTAATTATGATGAATGGCAAACCAAATATTTTACTTGGGTTGAATGATTGGTGGGTATTATTTTTCATAAATGCTATATTAACAGTGAAAATTTAACTGAAAAATTTAAGAAGCTCCTCTAAAAATACATCTCTACAAATTGCTCAACACTATTTCTCTTGATAAACAAATGACCTCCAATAATCATTGTATCTTCTAAGTCTCTGCAAATTTGTTAGGCCTACACTGTGATTTGCAGTTGCTGGATTAGATTTCATTACTTCATGAGCTAAAATTAGAGCAGTGAGGTTTACATTAAGTTTACACTTTAAAAGAAAGTACTTTTTAAAATGTCAGACATAATGTTTATAGGACTCTTTAAAATCACTATCCATTCTGCTAGACAACTAATCTCTGCTACTTTGTTAAACATGTTTACAGTACTTAAAAAAAATAAACAGCTTTCCCAGTTGAAAACTCATGGGTGAGTGTTCTGGCTCTTATAAGTCAGCATGCTATGAAAAAGGCAAAACCAACAGTAGTCACTCTAGGTATCAAGTGTTTAGAATGGTAGTAGCAAATCTCTCAGAAGTTGTTTATTCTAAAAAGGGAATAAAAAGCTAAAATTTTTATTCTGCTTAAAATAACCATGTTAATAAAATAAACCTAGGGATGAAACGTAATGAATAGTTCTGTAAAGTGTGCTGCCATGTATAGCATGAAGGCTGTGCAATATTAATTCCTTACGTTGGCTCTGCTTCTAAGATGTTCATCAAGAGGAGTGATGATGTTCATCTGAGACGCGTGAACTCTGCCGGTACCTTCTCCCTTTTGGCATTCCAAGTAATTATTTTCTGCCTGCTTCAGCATCACAAGTACGTCCCCACGCTGTAAGGTACAATACCGCTCTCTGAAGCAATTATTATTTAATAAAACATTATTACTTTTTCACATTTTAATCTTTGGAGCCTAAAGCATTTAATAACGTGTAATAGCAGTAACAGAGGCCAGCTTTTTTTTTTTTAAATAATCAGTCTGTAAAGAAAGAACTCTGCTTTACCTTACAAGAGAGCTCTCCGGGGTTTCGAGAGACAATGTCTTCATTGGCAATTCCATGAGGCACAGGTAGCTTAAATGTAAACCGATAAAAGAATTATTCTTCAACCGAGAGACATCCCCACTAGTTGCTGACCACTTAGGGCCTGGCAAGCGCACCTAAGATGCAGCCTCTCTAGCAGTTAAATTCTCTTTCAGGCCCCTTCAGGCCCCTTCAGGCCCTACAACGAGAGGGGCCTGCCAGGTCTCGCAGACATTAAAGCTCTTGGGATGTGAAGTTGAGCTGACAGGACCACAAGGGCTGCATGTGCCTGAAGTTCCCTTCGACACCATAACCAGGAAGTTCCAGGTTACAGAGCCGGTGAGCCAAATCCCCTGGGGGACTCAAGGGCAGATAGCACCTGACCTCACAGCCTGTCAAGGCCCTACCTAATGCAGGGCTGTCACCGTGGTTGCCTTCTGACAGCTAACGGGTAACTGAAGCTCTCCATATAGGGCCTGACTTATGTTTCCATTTGCTTTGAGTCTGCAGTCCCCATGATACCTAGTGTCTGCGTAAACCCCAGCCACACCCTGGTCTACTCAGTTTGGTGTGGTCTTAGAACAGTTTTTACACCTGTGCCCCACTCTGGCCATGAGGATTTCTTTCCTTGCTTGGTGAATGTGAGTTGATGCATGCAGGCCAGAGGGTCTGTACAGTACACAAAGTACACCCAGGAGATGGAGAGGGAGGCTGGCCGGGCCCCTGGATAATCCAAGAGCAAAGATAGAAAGGTCCGTGCTGAGTAGCGTGGCTTCCCGGCTTCCTTAGACTCCATGTGGACCAGATTCCTGGCTAGCTGGCTAGCAGACTAGCAATTTAATGATATGGTAGCCATAGAAAAATAAATAATTGAAGCAATTTTTTATAACAAAAGACGTATCACTCTGAATATGCCATCATGTTGATGTAATAATTGCTTTGAGTTCTTTAAATGTTTTACTGTCAGAACGTATACAGCTGTGCTAAGTGACACTTGGCTTCCCCCAAGGAAGGGATCTTAAAAAAGAATGGCCGAAGTGGGTAGAGACTTTCCACCAGGAACAGTTTTCCTAGGGTGTCGTAACGGTTAGGAGCCTGGGCTCAGAACTAGTTAACCATGATCAAATCTCGGTTCCCTCCTTGCTGGTTTAATCTCACCATCTTACTTTCTCCAATTGTGCAATGATGATCTAACTCACAAGGTTCGTGTGAGGAATAAATGAGCTGCTTTATGTATAAGTGCTCCAAACAGCGACTGGCTTATAATTAGTACTCAATACACATCAGCCACTGTTTTTATTTATTTATTAAGTAACCTATCCCAAAGGATACCCTTGGGTTTTAGAATTAAAGTTTCATTAGTTTAAATGAATACAAATATATATGGATATAACCTTCTTATCTGCTGATTCCCTTCTCAAAGGATAATTTTTAAAAATACTGAGTGGTTTTTAAAGTAAAGTAAAAAATATCTGGCTCAGTGATGTAATGTAGAACAATACACATTATTAATTGCTGCCCCTGTTATGAGCTACTTTATCCCATAGTTGTTTAAGAAGTACAAATTTAAGAAGTACAGTTTTGCTCTCATTTTAATTTTTTTGATTTTATCAAGTTAACCTGACCAAAGTAGAGAACACATCAATTTTACTTTTCATCCACGGGTAATGGAGGCAAAAGTCATCTGACAAGAAAAACATTCACAGAGAACAAATTTACTAACCCAACTATCTCAATTACTGACAAAAACTTGTAACTAGTAACTATTAAATGGGACCATAATAATTAGGCTTACAAATGGAGCAAATGTGGGAGTATCTGTGCATCTTAGTAGCAGACACTCAATTTTTACTCAGTAGGCAGAGTAGTTCTAAGATTTAATTATATCCAGATATAACTATCATATTTGTCAGTTACTCCAATGAACATACCCTGCTCCATCAGCTTTCTCAGTTCTGGGTGTTACTATGGCCTGCTTATCTAAAGCACTCTATGCGTCAAGGGACAAGCCTGCATTTGTTTCATCTTTTTCTAAGGGATAATGGATCTTACATATATTTTAGGACAAACCTCTTGACCATAAACATTTTAAAGAGCAATATTTACCATGTATTTCTTGTACAGAGGGTGTCCTGGTTTCGGGCGAGGGGGCAGCACCGGATCTTGATTTTTAAAGACTTGGCTCCTGGCTTTTGAGAGTCCAGATGCCATGTGACTTTGTCTTTTCTGGAGATCCATGTCAGAAGAGGAGCGATTAAAAGGCAGTTTTTTACTTGGTGTTCTAGTGGCAGAAAGTTTGGGAGGTGGTGGTCTCTCAGGGGCCCCTTTGGGAGGAGGCCGTCGAGTTTGAATCACTTTGCCATTTACAGGTCTGAAAGTTAATGCAGTAGTCATGAGTCCGCGTTTGGATTGTATCAGTTTCTATTCTGTTCTTTCTTATAGGTGCGCGCGCACACACACGCACACGCGCACACACAGAGCTTTCTGCTAGTGTAATACAATTTACCGAAATCTGCAGGGTATGCTATTTTTGAGCAAATGACTGTTGCATTAAACATTACATTATTAGAGGAAATGCCATGATGTTCCAGCTTCCTCTTATCTTGCACTGGAGATTCATTAGTTTAAGACAAACAAGCACTTACTATCATGAGCTCTCAGAGGCCCCAACTGGTCTTAAACACATCATGACTGCTTCAGAAAATTAAGCACTTTCTACCAAAATCTGACATGAAAGGTGTATAATAAGATAATCAGGTATATGTACTAGGATCTTGTAAATTATTACAAAGGAAGATCCCCTACCGTTCACATTGTAGGAATCACTATTAAAATTCTAGTTTAGCTTAATTTGAAGAAAAGTAGTTCTGAAAGTGGAGTAAGATAGCTATTGCTTTGAAAGCCTTACGTTAATCACTAAGACAGAAATAAACTGTAACACGGCACCGTCTTTGACGGCAGCACAGCCTTTTGTTCACACAGCTCTGGGACTCAGGTGGTGGGTCGGTCACCTCTGAGTTCGCAAAGCCTGTCTTCCTTTAAAATGCCCAAACTGGGCCCATCTCCCTTACCCAGGAGGGTGACTGTGTGTGTGTGTGTGTGTGTGCTCCAGAAATGGAGCTGCTTTAGGTTTACAAAGCAGTCTTGCTCATTTGTTTGAGGAAACGTAAAAGAGGCCCAGGTCTGTGCTCTAAGTTTAGGAATGCGTTAAAAAGAAAAAGGTACAGAAATTCCAACAACCTTCTGTCAGAAGCAGACTGTGGGCTAGTGGCCTGGGTGAATTCGTGATTTATTTGATTCGTAAAAAAGATCTAAGGCCAACAGCATGCAGTCTGGATGTCAGAAGTAGATAGCCAGGTAGGAGTCCTGAATTCTTTTCTAACGTGTCCCATCCTCACTTACCTTGGTGGCAACCTAGGGGGTCCTCGCCCAGAACCTCCTGTTTCGCCTGTATGGTCGGGTTCCTACAAGTGCCAGACAATGCTTATTAGTCAAGGCCATCGAAAACAAGAATGTCTCAGGAGGAGTTTTGGAAAACTTTTTGGTTGTGTCTGTAAGTAAAAGTATAGCTAACTTACAGAAAGTAACTGAAGAGAACTTCATTCTTAAACAATATCAACTCATTATTCACCTCTGAGCTATCTGTGTCCTCTACAGGTGCAACACTGGGGAGAAATCACGGCATCATGTGTTGAACCAGAGCCTGACCAGGGTACTGCATGGCCTGCACCCGGTGATTTGGGAGACTTTAAAAGATGGTGTGAAAGTCATGGGGGCCGCCCAGCGACAATGCAAGCAGGCACCGTAGGGAATGAAACAAATCTATCGTGTTTATGCACCCCAACTACACAAAGGAAACCTAGTTCCTGAGTTTACACACATAGGAGGTTACTAGCTTGTTTTGCTTTGAACAGGAAGATCTTATCATTGGATGGTCTGACATTTTGTAGTGGGTTTCTTTTTTCTTTTTCTTGTGTAGTACTGGAGATTGAACCTAGGGCCTTTCACACCAAGCTACACCATCAGCCCATTTTATTATTTTGAGACAAGTTCTCACTAAGTTGCCTAGGCTGGGCTTGGACTTGTAATTCTCCTGCCTCAGCCTCCCCAACTGCTTGGGTTATAGACCTGTATCATCGGACCTGGCTTGCAGTAGGGTTTGAAAGAAAAGGAGGTAAAAAGCATAAGGGATGGTCTGAAAGGAAAACATATGAGGAGAAACAGAAGCCCAAGAAAGAAGGACGCTTGTACCACTATAGCAAAGGGGTTGGACAGGGTGACAGGAGGTTGTGTACAGAAGAGTAAAGGGGAACAATGTGAAAAATGAAAGATGACTACAGTTAGAATGCTTCAGTAGACGAGAGAAACTGGAAGGAGGGAGATTAATAGGAATGTTTCTCTAGGGGAAGGAACTTAAACTGTGCTGCTTAAAGCTTTGTGAATATATTATAGTTCAAGGACTAGAAAGTAAGTTAATACATGAGAAATATTTTCAGGTCTTCTGTTGAGTGAGAAGTTAAGGATCCTCACTAAATTCTTACTCTGTCTCCTTTGTTCACCTTTCCTACTTTCCTAAGACTCCAACATAACATCCAAGAGATATTTCTCCCTCCCTGCACTGACAGGGTCTTGCTATGTAGATCAGGTTGGTCCTGAACTCACTATGTAGCCCAGGTTGGCCTTGAACGATGGCGGCAACCCTCCTGCCTCAGGCTCCCATTGCTGGTATTACAGGAAGAGATAATATTTCTTTAAGGCCTTAGGCTAGCCCTTTAAAATTACATTGCCTTTTTTTTCTTTTTTGCAAAGGGGGTTGAATTATAGATTGGGACTCTTTGGCCTAATTCAGACTGTTTTTTAAAACTTACTTTCAAGATTTTAAATTCACCCTATTTATAATTTTTCCTTAAGTACCAAGTGATTAATTGCCAATAACTGTGATCATTTAAACATGTTTCAATGTTTTAAAAATCCCATTTAAAAAAACAAATTAAACTTGCCCTTAAAACTTGGCTTCACTAATGAGTTCAGTTAATGTAGTGAGACAAGTCACCAGCTCATAAACCCTGCAATATCCTAGAATATAATCCATGCCTTATAAATATGCTGCTGCCTGTATTTTTTCCTGACAATACTGCCGTGATACTTGAAAATGCAGTTATTTCTTTGGCCACCTTCAAAATTAAAACATACTGTAGCAGACAGGAAGAAACTTTTATCGCTTTTTCTCAAAATTATACTGGCTAAATAACTTGTTATTATGTAACTAGTTGTGAGATAATTATGGAAAAGTTAAAAAGGTACCAAAGTACAAGTATGACATGGAAATATACAGCTAATGTACCACAGTAAGTACACAGCATATGATCCTAATTTTGTACAAAATATTAGCTGTAGTTTTCTCTGGGTGGTGATGTTGTTATGAAACATCTTAAATTGTTTTTTTTTTTTCTTTGTAGTACTAGGGATCAAACCCAGGAGTACACATATGCCAGGCAAAGATTATACCACTGAGCTATATCTACAGCCCTTCTAAAAATTTTAGCTTGAGACGTGGTCTGGCTGAATTTCCTTTGATGGGCCTTGAACCTGTGAATCTCCTGCCTCAGTGTCCCTTGTAGCTGGGATGATAGGTGTGTGCTATCAAGCGCACTTTAAATCTTTTTCATTTCTCAATTTCCTACAGTGAGCAAATTTTAAAACAGAAAACAAAACAGTGAGTTGAAATTCTTTGGGGATGTCAGGCACATCCTGAGAGCACCGCTGTACTTTGCACTCCAACCACAGATCTAGGGCGGCTCCCATGGGAGGCGCTGGCTATGTTTGCTCAGGCCTGGGTTCCCACCTGCTTCTGCCGGGTCTCTGGCAGGTGACCGACTGGGGACTTCCTTCACTTCAGCATTCCACACGTAACTGGAAGCCTCTGCATTTGCTTTGTGGCAGTTTTTTCTAGTTCTAATGTCCTTGAGCTTTAGTGTTTGATGGGTTTGGATAAGCATTTTAGCTCCTGGCGAAGTTAGTTTTCCTACTTGTATTATTTCTATAGATGCTATCTTTTTGTTCAGCTGCATTAGAATTACACTTTAAGACCAAAGTAATTCCCCAGTTTTTGGTGGGATTTATTTATTTATTATGGTTTTTGTTTGTTTGTTTTTTTCCTTTTTGAGTCAAGGTCTCACTATGCAGTCCAGGCCGGCCTTAAACTTGCTTATATCGCCCAGGTTGGCCCTCAAACTCACAACAGTCCTCCTGCCTCAGCCTCCCAAGTGCTCGGACTACAGGCATGTGCCACCATACTGAGCTTTGGTGGCATCTAAAAAAGATTTTTCTCATAAGACTGTACTGATGTGTTGGAATTACCGAGTGGCCTCAGATGTGCTTCTGTGTCCTGAGTGCTAAAGCAGCCTGTGTCCTTCCACACACACCTTGTGCTGTACATTTGATTCCTTACACAGCCAATGGGGCCAGTGCCAGGTGGCAGCCTCCTCGGGGGATGCCCTGAGTTCCCACAATGGGCAGCAGAGCTCCTGCACAGAATGGCTCAGATGTTCCTCACCCTGAGAGGGCAGGTTCTCAGACTCACGCAGGAGAAGAGTAGCAGTTTTTGTCCTGCGCAGTCAGCAGACTCAGCAGGCAGAGACCAAGCCTGTCCCTGTGGGCTGCTGTCTGATGAAATATTCCTTCTAGAGACCCTCATCCTCGTCGCTAGTCTTTATGGCCTCTGGTCTACAGTTCACTCCGTAACTGGAATTCTCAAAGGAAAGGAATTACTTAGGTACACACTTGACCTGCAGGCTCTATAAATCTACACATGTGATTTCAAGCAAATCATTTCAGCTCTACCCTGTTCTCATGTTTATTCTTTCAGACTCAGTGTGTCTCAATGGCATGCACTTATGAAAGCACAGGCTGCTCTGACTCTTTTTATAAACAGTGTAGGGGCTGGGGATTTAGCTCAGTGGCAAAAGCGCCTGCCTGGCAAGTGCAAGGTCGTGAGTTCGGTTCCCGGTACCGGTACCGGTACCGGAGGAAAACCAAAAAAAAAAAAAAAAAAACTGGCATTTATTTGAAATAAATAAAATAAACCTTAGCCAATCTCACCAAAAAAGGAAAGACCATATCAGTGTAATTAGAAATGAAAAAGGCAAAATGACAAAGGACACTGATGAAATCCAGGATACTGTAAGTAACTACTTTGAAAACATACTACAATAAGCTGGGAGACTCCACAAAAAAATGGGTAAATTCCTAGATATATAGGGGCTGGGGATTTAGCTCAGCGGCAAAGAGCCTGCCTGGCAAGCACAAGGTCGTGAGTTTGGTTCCCGGTACCAGAGAAAAACCAAAAAAAAAATAAAAATAAAAAATAAAAAACAGTGTAGGACAGGATTTTCCTCATGTTCACGTGAGGCACAAACACAATTATGAGTACAGTATTCCTCCAGATGGATTAGCCTACTCTTACTTCCGTATCCTTTTTTTTTTTTAAGGTGGGAGTTGCTAGTGGATTGCTTAACACCAAATGTAATAATAACATATTTCAATAGAGCTTTGTCATTCAGAAAGCCTATTACATCACCTAAAGAATAACATGGGTGGTTTCTAGCACCCTTTCACTTCCTTTTACAGTCTTCTCAGAGTAAACGCCTGTAACCTTCTCAAACAACCACTGCCACATGGAAATGTGGGGTTTTCCCATTCAACAACAGTATAGAAAGGACCATTCTGTTCTGGCCTTTCTTGGCCCGATTTTATTTTTCTTTCTTTCTTTTTTTTTTTTGTTTTTTTTGAGACAAAGCCTTGCTAAGTAGGTCAGGCTGGCCTTAAACCCACTATTTGGCCCAGGCTGGCCTTGAACTTGCAGCAATCCTCTTGCCTCAGCCTCCTGAGTGCTAGGATTACAGGCATGCATCACCATACCTGGCTGTTGGCCCAATTTTAATAAAAAATTATTACCAAGTACTTTGAAAGTACAAGTGATCACTAAATTTTAATTCATTCTACAGAAAATCTCATTAACTTGGTATTGGCTAATTTAATTTAATGTCTCCTTCAAAGAATTTTCTCTTCACTAGATGATTAGATGGGTCTGCTGTACGATAAAGTACAGTTAATGCACAGGGTAAAGCTATTATAAAAATTTGAACTGAAAATTAGGTTCAAAGACTTTGAGAGTTGACTTTGTATGAATTAAGTCTTAAAGATCATTTAGCTTATGGAAATACTGAGATTGAAATAAAAATATATATACAAGATTTTCTGACCATTATTTTTTGTTTTTTTTTTGTTTTTGTTTTTCTTCCAGTACCAGGAATCAAACCCACGACCTTGCGCTTGCCAGGCAGGCACTGTGCCGCTGAGCTAAATCCCTAGCCCCTCTGACCATTATCTTAAATGTACAGTAATGTGTCATTTTTTTTAAATTAAAAAATATTTTTTCCTTAAATTTCACATTTAAAAAATCTTAGGGCAATTATTTTAAAGTTATGTCACCAACTGGATATTTTAAATAAAAACTGACAATGTGGTTAAATCTATTTCTGTAAGAATTAAAGTTTCTTTGAGATTTCTAGCAACTTCATTATTAGCATAATTTAAAAGGCAATGTCATTACATTGGTACATGACAAATTATTTCACAATGATATACAATGAATTAGCCTAATCTTACAGTGATCAAAAAAACGTTTTTAAGTACATGCATGGGGCTTACTAACTGGTTTCTAATTAAAGTTTTTTTTTTTTTGGTACTGGGAATCAAACTCACTTGCGCTTGCCAGTCAGGTGCTTGTGCCACTGAGCTACATCCCTGGCCCTAAAGTATTTTTAAAAAGTCTGAACAATAGTAAAATAATTTTGACATCAGCTGAGTATTTTAAATTAGTACATAGCTTTTTCCTCAACCTAGTATAATCTGTTAGGATCACTTACCACATTTCTTGTTCTGTCAGCATTACTGAGTCTTCCAGATGCTATACTGTAAGTGTTTCCAATAGGTTTTTCAGCGGGGAGCGGAGGTGGGCTTTGCGGATCCTCAGGTAAACCTTGCAAAAATAGCAGTAATTCATCAGTAATGTCTAGCCAGGTGTCCTAAAGGATGAAATGATTGCAGCTTGGTTCCTTAGGACGACATTATAGAAGACCCAAACAAAGAACAGACAGTTAAACAAATGAGGAAGAGCTCTCAGCAAACTTCAAAAATTGATGTTAGTCAACATCAATTAATTTTATTACATATTTTATAGACAGTGAAAGTAATACTAAATAATTGCAACAGTGTTAGCATTTGCTGGGAACCTTCTCTGTTCCAGGTATTAGCTCAGGCACTTCATTTGCAGACATACCTCTAACCAATAAACACGGTGCCGTCAACAAGTATGGTAAGTGTTTAAAAAGTTATTACAACAAAAGACACACTGCCATTAACTCCCCTCAAAATATTCCCCTTCACTTTGAACACATTTATCCTAGGCTTTCCGCCACTTTCTGAAACACTCTGGACGTCTTCTCCTGAGAGTGTCTTTAGTTGCGCTGTCATGGCTGCCTTCAGTTCTGAATCAGTTCAAAATGTTTACCTTTCAAGGTCGTTTTGACTTCAAGGAAAAGCCAGAACTTGCAAGGTACCTGCTATGGTTTGTGTCTGGATGTCCTCCCCAAACCTTATGCAGTCATAGTGGTGGGGGGTTTCCAGAGGTGGCTGAATCTAGAGTTTGTGAGAGATTCATGGTCCAGTGCTGAGATTAAGGTATGAGTGCTACACTTGCCCTAGGGTGGGTAGCCTGCATACAGTATAAGGGACAGAGGCTTGTTCCTGCTCTCTCTCTTTTTGCTTTTGCTGGCTTCTGCCTGATGCCATGAACTACTGCCCCTCTGCCATGTGCTACCCTGCCTTGGAGCCAGACAACTATGGACTGAAACCTCTACAAACTGTGAGATAAATAAACCTTTACTCCTTTAACCTTAGTGTTGTTGTTTTGTCTCTGTTATGGTTTGTTTCTGGGTGTTCCCCCAAAGCCTCATACGGTGGTCATGGGGCAGGCTTTTAGGGTTTGATTGATTATGGGTGTGAGAGCTACACCCACCCTGGGGTGGATATTTTGCATATGTAAGGGAGAGGAAGAGGGTGCTTCTGGCCATTTCCTCCCTTGTGTGTTTTTGTTGCTTTGCTGTGTTCTGCCGCCATGAGCTGTAGCCCTCTGCCATGTGCCAATCTAATTGTAACCTGCCAAGTATGGATTGAAACTGTAAGCAAAATAAACTTTTCCTTCCTTAATTTTGGGTGTCAGGTATTTTGTCCCAGCAAGGAGAGGAAAGTAACCAAGACAGTTTCAACAATGAGAAAAGTAATATAGTAGCAGATCCAGAGAATAAGATGGATAAGGATGTATCATTAGGATATCTGACAGAAATTGCAGTAAACATTTGATCAATGAAAGGTGATCAAAAAATGATTAGTGTTTAAATAAGAAAGTATTACAGTAAGACACATTGCCATTAATTCCCCTCAACATACTCCAAATATTTCTGGCTTTGAACATACACGTATCCCATAGCTCCAGGCAACAAACGTGTCTGTCATTATATTGTTTTCTTCAAAATGTAAACATTCACTCTGCTCTTCAATCACCCTTTCCATCTATGGGCTAGATTTGCCTATGCAGTCATTTAAACAAATTTTAATTAAAATGAAATAAAATTTCAGTTTCTCAGTTACACTAGCCATATTTTAAATACTCAATAACCACTTATTAGCTCAGATATGGAATATTTTCTTCATTGCAGAAAGTTCTACTGGACAGTATCATATACAATATCCCACATATTTTAATAGATTAAAAAAACTGAAGTTATGAGAGTTACCTGCAACCTTAATGTTAGTAAATGTTAGATTTTCTTTCAGTTATGAACCCAAAATCCTGTCTCATTCTACTAAGACATGCTACTTAATACGTGGCAGACCCAACCCTTCCTCATCTAATAATTAACTTTTTAAAATTCATTAGCTCTTGGTTAATGAACATAACCTCAATTAAACAAACAAAACCTTTACATTCAAATCACATTCTTATCTTAGTAATAGTGTACTCTCAACTTTTTGAAGGAAGAAAAAAATAGATGACCAGATTTAATTAGTGGCAGCTAATTAAAATCAAGTGTGTAAGAATAGCTGCTGAGAGGATGACCATGCCATAACGCAGGAGGCTAAAGTGATTTTTAGTGTTTGGTTTAGATACTGAAAGGAGATAGGAATTCTCTTTTTGTTTTTAAACCAATGAATACGTTTTACTTTCCTTTCACATGAAAAACCTGTAAGTAGATCATTTGTCAGGTGCCTGTTTTATCAACAGACAGGAAAATATCCTTATAAGGAGGAAAATACCCAGGTCAGTTACCAGGAAAACTGATTCAGAGACAGGCAAGTGTTGTGAGAGCCAGGGCTGCTCTGGGGATTACAACACACACACACACACACACACACACACACACACACACACACACACACTATACCCAACTCAGCCCCCATCTTAAGACTTTCCCTGCTGCATCTTTAGGAAATAAAACACTCTTCTAAGAAATACTGAAGAATGCAAAGTAGCACTGTGACAGTAAGTAAGAAGGTGTCCACCAGCAGGAGGGACGTGGGGCAGCTCCATGTGGGCGTGAGGCTGAGGACACAGACCGTTTCCAACTTTAAGCAGTAAGGCTGGGGAAGGTATCACTGAGAAAGTGGCATTGGAGTAGGCGCACGAAGGAGTGGTGAGGGAGGAAGCCAGGCCGCTCTCTGGGGAGAGGCTATCCAGTTAGCACAAGCAGGTCTCATAGGGGAAGGAGCTAACCAGTTCAGACAACATCAAGGAGTTTTGTACAACCAGACTGTCCACTCCACTCCACTCCACTCCATTCCATTCCATTCCATTCCATTCCATTCCATTCCATTCCATTCCATTCCATTCCATTCCATTCCATTCCATTCCAGGTTCTTCAGATGCCACACTCTTGTTCTTTTTCTCTGCACTATACAGTACATGCACTGCTTAACACAGTAATAGAATTGCAGAACTGGTTTTTGTTGAGAGCAATTTTTTTTTTTTTGGGGGGGGGGAGAAGGGTTTGAATCCAGAGTCTTCACCTTGAGCTATATATCCCCAGCCCCCTTTTTTATTTTTATTTGAGACAGGGTCTGGTTAAGTTGTTAAATTGCCCAAGCTAGGCTCCAGCTTGTGATGCTCCTACCCCAGCCCTCCAGATGCTGGGATTAACAGGTGTGTATCATGTATCACCATGTCTGGCCTAGAAAAGCAACTTCTCCTTTTTTTTGGAGATAGGGTCTCACTATGTAGTCCAGGCTAACTTCAAACTTGCAGTGACCCTCCTGCCTCAGCCTCCCAAGTACTGGGATTACAGGTATGTACCTCCATGGATCTGGCTTTAGAAGCAACTCCTTAGAGACCATTCTGGGGTATTAGTTATCTCACTTCTAGCAGTATAGAATTCAACTTTCTAAAAGTTTCTTTTTAAAAGAAAAAATGAAAGATACTTGCTCAACATACCCTCAGGATTTCAGTGTTACTAGTTCAAGTTCATATGTGTGCAGAAAAAGTAAACACAGTCGGCCTGAAACTTGCTCTTAGAAATGTCTGCTTGCGACACTGGGCCCTGGCTGCTATCTGGGAAATTGGGCTCTGGGCCAGTTTCCATCATTCCCAGAACTGACAAAAGAGAAGAATATGGCTGGTGCTGAATTCCTGCTTTCCTGCTGGGAGTTTTGTGCATGCCAGCATTTCTAAGGGTGTCTATGTAACCCCCAAAACAACCATGGGCAGGGACTCTAATGAGCTTCCCTGGTTGACAATATGTCACATGTGTTGTTACAACTCACTGCCAGGAGGGTCCCCATATTCTCACCAGCAGAAGGCTCTTGGAATCTTGTACCTGGTTTCTTCCAGACCTCGCCCCAGTTGCCTTTTCCCTTTGTTGATTCTCCCATAGTACTTTGTGTGTGTGGTGCTGGGGATTGAGCCCTGGGCCTTGCATGCCAGGCAAGCGATCTATCCCTGAGCTATAGACCTTATTTTGAGGCAGGCCTTGTTAAGTTGCTCAGGCTGGTCTTGAGCCTGGGATCTGCCTGTCTCAGCCTTCCTGGTAGCTGGGATTGCAGGCAGGCACCACCATGCCCAGCTCATATACTTTCAGTAGAATAAATCACAGCCATGAATATAACTATTTTTTTGAGTTGTGGGAATCTTTCCAGTGAATTAAGAAACCTAAGAACCCTGAGTTGTCTTGGGGACACCAACACAACAGTGGAATAAATTTAAATATAAAATTTATATTACTACTGGGTATGGTGGCACACGCTTGCAATATCAGCACTCTGGGAGGCTGTGGAGGATCTCAAGTCAGAGCTCAGCCCTGGAAATTTAGTGACAATGAGACTGTCTCCAAGTAAGAAAGAAAGGGAGGCGGTGGCTGGGATGTAGCTCAGTGTGTAGGTCCTGGGTTCCACCCTCAGTGCTACAAAACAAAACAAAAGCTGTGTTACTTAATATCCAAATGAGTTACTGGCAAAACCATCATCATATTTCACTCTCCTGTTAAAATCCAGAATGTACGTAATTGGGCAACAGGGAACAGGTAAGCAACTGGACAAGCTGATTCTGGGCTTTATAAAACTGTCAGAAGAAATATACCACCTCTTTTTAAATCTAACACTACAATTTAACTTCCTAAGAAGTAAGAACCCACCAGAATTTGATACCCTTGACTTTTTGTCCTCATTCTTGATAGCAAATCAGTTCAGTCTTCTTGCTACTTAGCAGAAAGCCATTGTCAGTTAATAACAAAACCATCAAGAGATTTTAAAGTCTCTCAATATGATCCTCTTCTGGATAGGGCTTCATAGAAAAAACAAACCCCTAAAGTAAAGGGTAGGCCTGCAACACAGTCGTAGGGTGCTACAGGTCGAAGTCCTAGATGCTTGCTCTGCTGTTAGGAGAATGGAGTAGGCAGAATCTCTTGTTAGACAAAGGCAAGATCCATCTGGGCTATGCAAAAGCACTGCAGGTAGAAATGAAATCAGAGGCCTGTGGAAAAAGCTGGTGATTGTCCCCAACAACGACAGGAACTACTCTGGAACCCACTGTGTGTGCATGTACATACACATGATCTTAGCCGTACTTTAAAAATAATATGAGATCTAAAATAAGTAGTTCCTGTCCCTTTGGCTTATCCCTTATGATAAATAACAAAATTCTTCTCTTTTTTTTCTGGTGATGCTGAAATCGGACCCAGGATGGTCTACCACTGAGCTATATCCTGGGCCCTGCACAGCAGATAGTCTTTTTAAGTACCCATTGAAGTTCCTATAGAATTTGATTTACTGTACCATTTAGAATATCAAATAAGGAGATACATATATCCATATATACACACATATATATGGATATATGTAGTATTACACTAATTTTAAAACATTTTTATGTAGCAATTAAGCCATCACAAGAAAAAAAGTATCCTTATACATCATTGCATGTTTTTAAAGCTTTTGTTATACATCCTCATATAATTCAGAGTCGTATTTAGACTATGCTGATTTGAACAATAAATATACTCCTGACAGACATATATAACTTTATTTATTATTAGTTTCAATTACTTTCCTACCACTCTTAACCAGAGGCACTAACAAGGGATACTGCAGTTGTTCTGAGATTCAGTCTCCCTCTAATTCTCTGTGCCTAAAGACAAGATTAAAGAAAAATGAGATCCAAACTTACGGTACTAATTCTCCAAAGAATTGTGAGAAAACAACTCGCTTTTGGATGTCCATGACTATGAATAATAAATGGGAGGTTATACATAATTTCAAGGGTACAGTTGATAAATTTGCATCTATTTCTCCCAGGGTCTTAAGCAAATAAAAAAGGCAGAGCAGTGCTTACATTTTCCTGGTTTGGCTGGAATTCGAATTACAGTGGGCTTCCTGGTGGTTGCTGGTTGAATTGCTCTTTCTCTTGTTGGCTCTGTTTTTGTGGGGAGCTGAAAGGGATCTAATGAAAAACATAGTTTATTTTGCATGTTTTAGTTAACACGGACTCAAACAAAAAACCTCATTCATAATTTAAGAGTCATATTTTTCATGCCCCAGGGAAAACTATTCATGGATAAACAAAATCTCAGTTTGCAGAGACAAAAACAAAGTTGGAGCTCATAAAAGGAAATAATTTAGTACTCTGTAAATAATTCATGTGGCTTTTCTTCCTCTCTGATGAGAGATATCCAGGACAATCCTGAATTATGTAGGAGCAAGCTTTCAGGGGAGCACAATCATTTCATAAGTGTCTGACTGAAATGAGGAGACAATCTCGCCACATCATAAGGTCCCCAGACCCTCAGGAGAGAAGGGTATTCCCTCCTGCGTCCCTTGTGCATGTCCTGGAATACTTCCCGGCAGGACTCACCAGTGGTTGTCATCCTCCCCAGAACCCATCCTCGCACAGGCTCAGCGGTCTTGGATTTGCTAGATTAGTAAAACTATACTTCCGTAACGTGAGAATGAAAAAATGACCTCTCCTTTCAGACGTTTAAACTCCAGGCAAGCACCTATGACTCAGCATTTCTCCATCTCAACTCATGTCTTTTTTTTTTTTTTAATTAAAGACAGGGTCTCCCTATGTAGATGGCTGGCCTGGACTCAATATGTAGCCCAGGCTGGCCGTGAGCTCACTTCAATCCTCCTGCTTCAGGTTCCTGGGTGTACCACCATGCCCGGCTTGTCAACTCTTGTATTTTAAATGCACAGATAGTATGTGCCTAGAGAAGGGATTTTAAACAAAATTATAACTTTAATTTTTCTAATTGAAAGAAATAATTTTTTTTCTTTAATGTAAATGTTTTTTAAAGTGGCTTGGAAAAATGGCAAAGTTTTTAAAAGATGGGAAACAGTCAACTGCAGGGGCACAGGCCTATAATCCTAGAATTTGGGACACTAAAATGGGAGGGTTGTAAGTCTGACCCCAGCCTGGGCTATGTAGTGAGACCCTGCCTGAAAAATCAAAAGATGGAAAACCTAAAAATAAACACATTACCAAAAATAGGAGGAAATGCTGTAACAGCCCGGACACGTCCCCTCTCCCCGCTCTCAGAGGGCTCTCAGGCACCCACAGAACCATCACGCGCCCTCACTGGTCACCTGCTGCTGTGTTTATGTTAACCCAGGAACAGCGCTGGGTGGACAGCCAGGATGGCAAAGTGCAACCTTACCAGAAGTTTCTTACCCGCTACCTAGAGCTGGTCCCCAGTCATGACTTGGCTACTGAGAAAATAAAATTAGCATATCAGCTCCCAAGGGAGGCAAGTCCTAAATTCAGAAAACCAATTCAAGATTATCAAATGATTATCAAGCCTAAAATAAAAGACTATTGTAATAATAATACAACTTTCTTCCACTGTAATTTATATCCCCCCCTGAAACAAGCAAAGCTCTTGCTTTTTAGGCTTAATCAAATTCCTTGAGTTGATTTCTTATTTTGTGGGAGCGTTATTTTTTTTACTACAAAATATTTTTGTAAAAATAGAAAGTAGTAAGAAATATATAAAACAAAATCTCTAATAATTTCATCTCTAATGGTAACCATTATCTAAACTGGTATATCTGTCTATATATTTTTCTACAAATGTTATGTATATGCTATATTGACACAGATATTTTGAAAAAATAGGATTTCCCTCTTTTTGTGTGTGTGCAGTACTAGAGATTAAACCCAGAGTGTGCTGAGCTATACCCCAGCCTTTTTAAATTCTGAAATGGGCTTGCTAAGTTTACCAGGCTGACCTAGAACTTGTGAACCTCCTGCCTCAGCCTCTTGAGTAATTGGGATTACAGGTGTGCATGTCCATGCCCAGATCACGTCAAGTTTTTGTAATTTGCTTTTCTCTTTTGTTCATTCAATACTGACTGGGTGTCTGCCACGCATCAAATGCTATTCTAGGTGCTGGGAATATATCAATGAATGAACAAAGCAAATAACCTCCTGGAGCATAAGTTCATTCCAGCAGGCAGACAGAGACAATAAACAAATCTAATGTAAGGCAAGTGGTTCATGTGTATATCCTGGAAGATGAGTACTACTGAAAGGAAAAACTAGACCAAGCTGAGGAATCTCAGATAGGGGCAGAGGGAAGCAGGTTATAGCAGGAAACGAGCGCAGTGGGTGAGGGAGGCAGGGCTCTATCTCTGCAACAACTGGGTGCTAGCTGTTCTAACAGTTCTTCCATTTGAGATCCTCAACAGTCTGCAGGAGACAGCAGTTCCAATGGCCAAAAAGAAGCTAGTGCATTTGTGTTAAAGCTCATTATTGCAAGTATTACCAAATCTCAGTTCTCTGAATGGGTCCTTTATATGAGTAATATTTGCTAAAATGAAAGAATGTGAAGAATCTATTTAACCATTGCATACATTTTGTTCAAACATAGAAACACTGCATCTTTCTTTCTGTTTTTTTCTTTTCTGCTCATCTCTCCCCCACTGCCCCTGCTCTGTCTTCCTGGCCTGCTGGAACCCACGAACCCCCAGGGAGCTACCAGGCTTCCCTGCCCCTGCTGTGGGGGCGACTTTGCTTCCGAACTCCCCCACTCCCTAACCAAAAGAACCCAGTGGTTATATCCCATTCTGTCAGGTTCTTTCAGGCCTCTGTTTTCTGCTGAGAAAAGGACCAAAAATTCAAGAAAAGGATTAGGCTCCTGTTCATGTGTCCTACCTTTCAAGTGGCATTTCTGGTTTTCTTTTGTTTTGTTTTGTTTTTTGGTTTTTCTCCGGTAGCGGGAACCGAACTCACGACCTTGCGCTTGCCAGGCAGGCGCTTTGCCGCTGAGCTAAATCCCCAGCCCCGGCATTTCTGTTTCAACAGTTACTCTGGGTACCCATCATCTGTTGGTTATTAGTATAGCTTTTAGTTAATGTGTTTTTGGTAGATGTGGAAAGAGAAGAAAATCTTGAGCATGGAACAGCTTCATTGTTTCCCAAGTCAAACTAAATTTGGGGCCCACCTCCTACATAGATTGCTCTCACATTCCAGGAGGTTGGGCATGGACAGGTGGCTCAAGGGGAGCCGAACAACAAAGGCCAACCACCGGCCTCAGGGCCTGGAGAGAGGGGCCACTTGAAATGTGCTAGAGGATAGGCTTCAGGACATCCTGCTGTAGTTCTGCACACAGTGGGGACAGATACTGCTTGTCCTGTGAAAGGGTCCAGTCGTTCTGTTTTAACCTGAAGAATTTACACTGACATAGCGCAGGTACAACTCACACGCAGAGTGTGCAACATATGCTGCCACCTACTCTTTCCCTCTCTTTTTTGGTCACTTTAATACAGCTAGCTGATCTTTAGTAACTGGCACTCAGATCATGTTTAATTACTTTACACATCTCTATGGAAAAAATGCTTTTCTCCATTTAGTGGGTCAAGGAAGCCTTCATGTTCCAGCACTGTGGGTGTCTGGCCCCAGAGCCCTGCTGAGTGATGTGTCCAGCTGTGCTCCTTGAGTCACTGAGCTCAGCATCTGCCTGTCTGCAGGTTGTCCTGGGTTGTGATGCACTCGAGGAGTGCAGATCAGTAAGGAAGACATCACTTCAGTGAAGAGGAGCCAGAAGCCTGGTTTTCATCTTGATGGTGCTGTGCAGGTCTCTAGCTACACAGAATGAAGCTCGTGTGTGTGTGTGTGTGTGTGTGTGTGTGTGTGTGTGTGTGTGTGTGATGCTGGAGACTGTAGCCAGGGCCTTGTGCATGCTGGACAAGTGCACTACCACTGAGCTATATCCCTAACCTCCAAGGTTCCCTTTGTTTAGTCTTCTCATGAGAGAGGTATTTTCTCCAACAGAAATGGTTGTGGGCAACATATAAAGCCAAGACAAGATTAAAATAATACCTCTGCCACATAAATCAAAATGAAAAGCACTTAAAGATGAAGAAAAAATTCTTAAGTTTTTAGTTGTCTTTTCAAGGCAATCATGGTCAAAACATTTTCTATAACATAATTAGAAAAATAAAACCTTTTTCTTTTTTTTTCCTGAGACAGTGTTTCACTATGTACTGCAGGCTGGCCCTAAACTCATTAATCCTCCTTACGATTTCCTCTATAGGGAGTAGTATTAATTTGTCTTATAGATGTTGAAACCAAGGCACTGCAAGGTTAAGTAAACATGGCAATTGAGGTGATCTCCTACTTCAGCAGCCTGCCGAATTCCAGGATTATGGGTGTGTGCCACCACATCAGGCAAAAACTCTTCTTGCAGGGGCTGGGGACATAGCTCAGTGGTAGAGCTAGCACCTAAAAAAAGTTCCCTCTTTTGAAAAAATTCTATTTAAAATGAAATAATGCAGATATGTATTTCCAAATTACCTAATTTAGAGATACTTAGCTCATAATAATTAGATTCTGTTTGACACCTTGAATAATAAAACTCTTCAGAAAAATCACCTTAGTTTGCTGTGCTGAGGATCAAGCCCCAGCCCTGCACATGCTTTACCACTCAGCCACACACTACTATTCTATTATTTTTATGCTTTCTAAAGATACCAAGGCTAAAGATCAGTGGTGGAAACTATTCTTCTATGGCAAAGATAACAAGAGATAACACTCACAGTCAGCCTAATTATGCTTATGTTCAGCTGGTTTAAAAAAGCGATTATTTTATTAAAGGTTAAAACTTACATACGGTCTGCAAATTAAATGGATCTCAAAGCTGTTACACACTGAGAACCAGCACCCTCATCCTGTACGCCTAGTTCCCTTGTAAAAGACAACTTTTGTTACCAGTTTCTCAAACATATTGCATATAACTTTTCACACAAACAGCAGCTAAAATATCATGAATCCTATTCTGTGCCTTACATTTTCCAGCTAGTAATGGTATGGAGGTTGGCCCATAGCAGAAGATAATAGCTCTGCCTTTTCTTTATTGCCATGCAATACTATGGATATACCCTATTTATTTAAGTAGTCCATTGAAGTTTATTTCCAAAATTCTATAGGAGAAGCTCTTAATCTAGAGCTCAAGATGGCCCCTGGAACGTACAAAGTACCTCAAATTGTCCTAAAGAACAGGCAACTTTCAAAGGAGATGAAAGACAGGCAATGTCAGATTCCCAGAGTTCTATGATCTAGAAAGGGTAAGAGCCTTGCTTCTGTAATTTTATCCCACACTGGTTGCTCTTGCTTCTTCACAAACAGCACAGGGTGTCACAAGAGTCTCCTATCCAAATCTAAGGGCAGTCACTGCATTGTCTCCTACTTTTAATTAATGTGTTTATTCTGTCTTTCTAGCCCCTCAGACCAACACCAATTATTCTGCACTCCCTGCCAAATAAGCAGGCCCCTTTACACCTATACCTACATGGTTTTCATTACTGGGCTGAGAGAAACACTGATGATAAAGTAGTTTTCCGCCCATTACCTATCTCTAATAATATGCTTGTCATCATAATTAGTTTCACCATCCCTGGCTTGCTTTTCTGTCATGTTTTTCCCTTGAGTTCTGTTAATAGCAGAAATTGGCTGCTAAACTATTATTCTGGTCTGTGTAATGGGGCTGACAGCAGACATATTCTGCTTTTTTTTTGACAACTCGGTATGATTTGTAAAGGTGTGAAGTGGAATTGCTAATACTTCTCAGCTCCATTACATTAACCTGGAAGGCATTATACCCAAGAAATGGATCCAATATTAAATTGCCTGTTTTATGAGTTTTCCTTTAATAATTTTTCCACTCTTTTACAATGTTTTCACAGCTTCAATATTTTCTGATCTCTATTTCCTGAGGTTAATATGGCAACTTCATTTTATGAACACTATTTTATTAGATTTCCTTTATTTTTAGGGTAGAAGACAAAGAATAGGAAAGACGTATTTGTGAGTTTCTTTTCTCCTGCGTTCTTCCCAGTTTCCAGTGGATGCTGCGGCAAGGTTTCACAGAAGGACAGTAAGTGTACAGTACTTATAATGACACTGCTACTGGAATACTGTAAAAAACAAAAGGTCACAAGGCCCTAAATCAAACAGATTCCCTCCTTGTGTTGAGGAGTTCAGAAGCAATCCTCAAGGAGCAGGTAAGAAACAAGGCCAGTGTATACTCCAAAACAACCCTTATGAAGGGCAGTAGGTCTGAGTGAGCTCAATTTATGAGGCTACTCAGGAATCTGAGCATAAAGGCCTCAAGTAGGGCTGTACAAGGAGAGAGGGAAATGAGAAGCAAACTGAAGATCTCAGAAGATTAAAACCATCAGGTGATGGTAACTAATTGGATGTGAAGGCAAAAGAGTAACAAAAATAATTACCACTTAATGACTGCTTATCACATCTCAGACGATCTGATAGGGTTTTCTGAAAAATCATATTTAATCTTTACAATTTCCTCCATGAGGTGTAGTAATAATTTGCCATAAGGCACTGCAAGGTTAAGTAAACGGCCCCAATTACATGGCAATCGAGGAACAGCCTAGGACATTCCAAATCCTAACTGCGCCACTGTGTAACTCAGTGAGGCGACTCCAGGATAGTCTCCAGGTTTCTCGGGGGGAGGCTGGGTGTATGACGGTATCACTAAGTGAGCAGCAAATACAGGAGGAGAAGCGGGCTTGGAAAGAAGATGTGGTATTCAGTTCAGCATAACTCCAGTCAACAGCAATGGAGTCAGGTGGGGCAAGCAAATTATACATTTTGCTAAAAAGACAGCCAAAATAATTAACTGTTGTGCAATGAAGTAGAAATCAAGACACAGAAAGGGCCAACTATGAAGCGTGGGACTGTACTCATGCTGAATGTACACGATTAACCTTCCTTTGTGAAGATGACTATAATTATCTCCTTGCTGTACAGAAGAAATTCTTAGCACTTACTAACCAGGTTGCCATTCTCACAGAATCTACCAGGCGCTAAAAAAGGTATGATTTTTTTGTTTTGAACTGTTTCTACCCCTTAATAACTTACTGCCATTGGATTTATCCACTTGTGCCCTTCTTTGAGGCTTGTCAGCCAAAAGGTTGAAAGAAGAAATTGATATTAACATAGACTTCAAAACTGTAAAAAATGTTGCCTAATTTAAAAGAGCTATGAAAACAGAGTAGCGAGCATGATACTGTGGCAGGTAAACTAGTCTGAAACTTGGCCTAAAAATGTGACTTTCATGATGTCAGTCAAGTATCCCTTGGTATGTGTTAATTTACCTACAAACTGAGGCCAATGATCTCTTGCAGAGCGTAGCTGTATTAAATCAAATAACTTCTGAGATGTAAGCATTAAATGTTGAGCAGTGTTGGGAACACTAGAGAAACTCCATGTATCCTAACGTTTTTCCTTTTATCCTTTATAGACAAACAGCACATCTTTTTAGCTTATATGCCACAGCCAGGAACAATGTTGTTTGCATGATACATTATATATATTGAAAATATACCTAAGGTGCATAGAATTTAGTTCTGAAATTACATACTGTATCATTTTGAAGCACAATGAACATTAATAAAAGGATAGTTAAACTTCTGAAAATACTATGAACTTTATATGTTCACAAATTCCACCCAAATAAGTGAACAGTAGCAAAAGGATTCTTATCAATAACAAGTAGAGTAAGTTAGTTTGACAGATCAAAGATAAGCTTTACTACCACACTCACCATCTAAACAGTATAAGGAAAGAACACATACTCTGCCTCTTGGGAAATTTAACTGTCCTGATCTTAGTAGCAGATTTAACAAGTATTTAATTTTATTTAAAGATTTTGCATTCCGGAGGGAAGATGTATTGGGCAGATTATAGAGAAGGACTCCACAACACGTGGCTGGGTCTCATTCCTTGCATTGCTCTTGCCGGAGTCCTCCCGGCTGGGGCTGCCCAGGGGCCGCTGCATGATTTCCATCTACGGGTGCTTCCACTGCATCCTCCCAGTGCTCTGTCCTTGACCTGGCTGGGTCCTTTCATTGTGAGCCCTGAACTTCCGCCTGCCAGAGTAAGGGAGGCCAGCCTCACAACCTAGTCCCCGGCTCCAGTCCGCTCCCTTCCGGCTGCATAATAGTAATCGATGTGCTGTGTCTCCTCTTTCTCTGTCTCCATCTCCCCACCCCATGTTCTCCCTTCCTTCTTTGTCTCCATTCTGTGCGCTGTTTCTAAATGTCTGTTCATCCTTGTCTCTCTGTACACACACACTTGTGCATACACGCGTACTCGTACCTCAGCAACTCACGTACCTCACACTTGTGCACACTTGTGCATACACGCGTACTCGTACCTCAGCAACTCACGTACCTCACACTTGTGCACACTTGTGCATACACGCGTACTCGTACCTCAGCAACTCACAGCAAGTACCACTTCTGCCATTTGAGACCCCTCTGATAGGTTCGGGTTCTCTTCCACTTCTGAGTTTTACTCACCTAGAATCATTTCTGAACCAACAGACTCTTCAGCCACGTTCCCAGATGAGGAGGGTAAAACATCATCGTCAAAGCTGATGAGGTCGATGTCCCCCAGGGGCTTGCTTTGCAGAGCTGGAACTGGGGGAGTGGCCGGGGATCCTTCTCCCAGTGACCTGAATGCTTTGGCTTGCGATGCCACGGAGAGTCGGGGAGGCACAGGGACTGGTTTAGGTGGAGCAGAAGGGCAGGGAGGGTTTTCTGAGGAAACCGACTTCTTCGGCAGCAAAGGCCTTGGAGCAGGAGTTGGGATTTTCTTCCCAACACCAGGGCTCTCGACCGTGGGCCCTCCCCCTGCAATCTCATGATTACCACTTCGTATAAGGCCAGGAGTTGGTTTCTTTGGCAATTCGGGTTTGGTTATGGGGATGCTTCCTGCTTCTTGTGGTGAGGAGTACGGGGTGAGCCCTTCCCTCGGGGTCACCTTGAGTCTGTTTTCAGCCCACGTGTCCCATTCTCCAGAAGCTCGGCTAGCAGCTGGTTTGGGAGCCACAGAAGGTTTCCCTGAGGAAACAGCAGGCTTTGGGGGAAGTGTGCGGGGAGTAATTTCTGGTTTCTTGGTCAGTCCCGAGGTTTCTGCATTTGTCTGACCCTCAAATGCTTTGATCCTTGAAACAATATTATTTTGGCTTTGTTCTGTGTTCATAATGTTCATCACTGCCTGACTATCTAAGTCGTTATTGTCCAACAGAGACTGGGGCTGGCCTGGGGATGACTCCTCTTCTGGGACTGCTGGACTGGTTTTCTGGTTACTTTTTTCTTTAATGTTTGTATCTCTAACTATTGGCCTGAGGTTGCTTTTTGATCTTGGTCTTGGCACAGGACATCTTGTAGCACTGGTGTTTTCTGGACAATTCTGTTCTTCGGAAATATCAAAGACTATTAAAGGCGCTACATTTGCTGGAAGATCGCCACACGAGGCTGCTGGGGGAGGCTGCAGGGGCTTGAGAGGTGGCTGTAGTGCTGACAAGATCAAAACGAAGCAAAGTTGTAATGTGATCATTTACAACAACAACAAAAAAGAAAATACACATTTTAAAAATATACTTTTAGGCTAGCGTGAGATTTTTGTTTCCTTAATTAGTAAAAAGTGATTGGAAAGTCAGTGGGGAAATGTTTATACTCAGCTTCCTACAGGAGGCTTCTTCAATCTGTATTTGTTCATGTAACAAATATTCATTATGTAATACTTTAAAACACCATTCAATTCTTAATTCTCATTAAACTCACCACATGAACCATTTCTTTCTCGTTGCCAAAATTTTAACATTTTTAATCCTTTACTTTTCCAACTTACTCATCTCTGTTACCCTGTAAAATACTCTTTAAAAAGCCTAACAGTCACCCTTTGTATTCTATAAAGTCTAAATTACTAAATATAAAATCCTTCTCAGTGGGAATAAAGGGCACCCATGGTAATGTGCAATATGAGTTAAACAGACAATGATTCTGTGATCTGAACAGAATCTCTAGGGTGAGCCCAAGAGATAGGGGCTGCAACTCTTAAGAATGATCTAGTACAATAATCACTGCATATCCAAAAAAGGAAAGCAGGGCTGGGGATTTAGCTCAGCGGCAAAAGCGCCTGCCTGGCAAGTGCAAGGTCGTGAGTTCGGTTCCTGGTACTGGAGAAAATCCAAAACAAAAAAAAAAAAAACAAAAAAGGAAAGCACATAGGGATCACAATGACTGGAAAGCAGAGCTCACTGAACTATGCACAAATTACAAATTATTTTAAAGGCTGACAGCCTACTGATTACTGCCCTAGAAGTAGGTGAGCATTAGGGAAGACAAATTACTGGCATTACTTTGAGGCAGGTGGTTGTCTATTTCTTCTAAAAAGTCAGTCTGAGTTGCAGAAGTAATAGTGTGCCTTGGAGTGGCAGCAGCATTATTATTATTTGTAGTATTAACTTGAACTTGGTTGATTTCTTTTATGACTTGCTCATAAGAGGGCGGGAGCTGCAAAATAAAAAAATGAAAATTTCAAACATCTATGCACAACAGCCAAAGTGTTGACAGTCTCCTTTGTTTTTACCTTCTGAGTTTCATTTTAAAGATAAAGTGCAACTCACCTCAGCAGGAACCAGCTCATTTGGCCTCCAAGGACCAGCTGCAGGAGCCGGGGGAAATCCTAAGCCTGGGGGCGGGCCTCCTGGGAACCACGAGGCTGGCCTCAGTGGCTCTGCTGCCACAATGGTGATCTCTGGGCGCCTACAAGACAGAAGCGCTAATGAGGTTTTACAGGTTGGTGACAAGCTATCACTGTCTTCCCTGTGAATGTTCAGATTCACGAAACAAATGCCACCTAAAATAGTGAAAAGAACTATGAGTCACAGGAATGACTTCTGTGGCCTGGACTATCTCCTAATCGTTTACCCAAACAGGCATAAGGGAGCAGAGAGCAGTCGTCCTCTGTGACTTTAGCCTCACAAAGTTAGAGATACAGTCTGAGCACACTCACTGTGCCTTGGCTGATGAGGATAAGCACAGTTAAGGCCTACACAATCCGTTTATTCCAGGGCAGTGCTGCTGTATAGCCTATAGCACAAACGTATGGCATAAGGTAAAATGAGTCAATGTAGTTGTTTGGTTTTCTGTTATTATAGAGTATATACTCAAAAATGAAAATTACCATGTAAGAATGTCTTCATCTTTCTCACTCTGTCTCTGTCCCAGTTTAAATTTACCTTGAGATTTTTTTTTTTTTTTCCCCCCCTCCGGTACCGGGAACCGAACTCACGACCTTGCGCTTGCCAAGCAGGCGCTTTTGCCGCTGAGCTAAATCCCCAGCCCCCTACCTTGAGATATTTTGAATGTTTACTTCTAGGCCCTGATATAGGTCTGTGTTTCTGGTCAGTTTTATATATCATTTGATGATTAATCTCCAATGCTGAGGAGTTGCAGTGATTTAGGCATGGCTTCTTTTCTTCATCTGATTCTATATTTTTATGTTTAAATTTTATCTTCATCCTGATTTCCTAACAAATACCAAACGTGACTCAGGGCAAATCTCAACTTCTCTGAACCTCTATTTTCTCATCTAACAAACACTGATGATGATGCCTGCTCTGCCTTTTCCTAGCGCCCTGTGGAAAGTAAAAATGACAAAGCACTGTCATTAGCAAAACTGTGCATGTACACACATCTTCCTGCTAGCTTATCACAGTGTAGAACCTTATCATGAAGCTGAACTAAGAACCTCTGCTGGTAGCTATTGTCTAACTAGATAATAAGAGGTACTAATTAGTAAATTTTAAATACTATACATACATTAACCCATATACAACCTTGTGATGTAGTTACAATTGGAACCATTTTAAAGATGGGAATACAGAAGCTGAGGAGGTTAGTTTGCCCAAGGTCACATGGTAGGAAAGTAGTGAAGTCAGGATTCCAACTTGGTTCCATCTGACTCTAAAGTCCTTATTCTTCACTATCCTATGCTCTATGTAACAAATCTGAAAGCAGGAGTCATGACTCACAAAACTCCATTCATCCAGTTATTTACCTGTGTATCCTTCCATCTTTCCATGTTTTCCTCTCCATTCTACTATCTGTTGGTCCTTTCTTCTACCTATCTAGCTAGTCTTTTCTCCCTTTTATTCTCCCTCTGTCTTTCCAAACAATCATCTACTTATGTATCTAGTGGCTTTCCTGTTTTCCTTTACCTTTCTAATCAACTTTTTATCTTGTCATCCATCCTTCCTTCCACCCATCCATCCATCCATCCATCCATCCATTTAGACAACATTTACTAAGTACCCAAGAGGTATAAAGCCTTTCTCTGAAACGGTCACAACAATGCTTTAACATGTAGCAGTTGTTTTACCAACATTTTAAAAAATTGAGTTTAGTAAATAATGACAGTCAAAAGAATACTCTCAGGCCCCTATCACTTTTTCTCTCAAGTTTCATCAGGAGATGTAAAGATGAGGCATAACACAGGAAAACACTGCTTATGAAAGAGATATTTAACTAGGCAACTGATGACACACTTTTATTTCAATTATCAGCAGTATACAAATATGGTTAAATAAAACCTTACCTCCTATCCCGATGAAGTTCACTCTGAATAGAAGTCCGAGATGCTACAGAATAAAGAATAAACTGGTATAGTATCAAATTAGTACACTCAGTAAGGATTTAAATTTTTACACAGTACACAGTTGGAAAAAGTTAGCTTATATAATGGACATCATATAGAATGTATGACTTTTAACACCTCTTAGTAGAAAAGTAAATCAAAATGATCTTTATATATTGGATAAGGTTAATTATAAATTTGAATTTCATTAAAAAATAGATTTCAAAACCTCCCCGAAGCACATTCTGTGGTTCTGAAAATAACTTGAAGGATGAACAGTGGACAGAAAGTAGCTGTTAAACATAGAAGCTTGAAGCATTAAAATGACATGAAATGACAATGGAAATAAAAGTCTTAAAGGTATCTATTTTAACCTATATGACTGGACTTGTGTTATTTGTTTATAACTGTATTGCACAGTATGGGAAGTAGTTAAATTTTCAAGCATTCTGTAACTTTTCAGTAATTTCACTACTTGTAAGTAGTTGTTTAAATTAAGAGATAATAAATGCAAAAGGTGTTCAAATCACTTTTATAAACAAACATATTGCATCAAGTTTTCCCTCAAGTTTCAAACTCAAAAAACTTAATCGTTTAAATTTTTGTTGTAACTTTTATTTTATAAAGCAAATAAAGTCCTAATCAGATAATCTGGAAAATATGTCACACACAAGATCAATTTTCATGTAGTAGAGAATATTATCTCTCTTTCCACAGAGCTCATTCTTAAGACTCTTTGGTGGGGGAAGTACTATACTGTAAAGACTTGTACAAGATATATATTTGTTTCAGACAGAAACTATTTCAATCAGTGGCTTTCATTATTTCTCCATAACTTTTTCAATGGGTCTGTTTTGAAAGAACTGGAAGTGTGGATCTTTTCTTTCTTCTTTCTATTAATTTCTGCTTCTCCCTTAACCTGAGGTGGGGAGAGGCAGAAAGGGGCTGTAAATGAAATTTTGGTTGGGATTAGAGCTGTGTCAGCTTCACCCGTGCAGGGCCAGTAATGCAAATCCCTAACATCTGCAACGCAAGCCCCTGGATCTCAAACGGAAAGAGGCCCTTATCTTCACAGCTGGTTTGACTGTTACACTGTAGTCAAGAGCTAAGCCAAGCTGAGGTACATTTTGTCTGCTGGAACAGAAGGGGACAGAGAGGCTAGGGCTCTGCATAGCGAGTCTGATTGGTAAGAATGGTTTCATTGTGCCACAGGCTGTCCCCAGTGTACTAATCACATCGCCACCACTGCTAAAGCTGGAATCAACACACATAGCGAAGACTTCATGTTATTGTCACAAACATACCTCTTCCACGGGGCATTTTGCTGTGCACTATTCATGAGTGCTAAGGGAAAAAAAGAAGGGGTTATAGAAGAAGAAAGGGAGAGAAAAGAGTGAACCTACGCTCTAAAGGAAATTCAGAAGCAAGATTGCCACACCACTGTTTCCCCCTACTCTGTACACTCAGATGGGAAAAAAAAAGCTGATGAACCATGGCTTCAGAGGGTAAAGAAATATACTGCTGCAAAGATTTGTCTGGAAGACCAGATCATCAGTACATACATAACCACAGTTTAAAAAACCTGCTTGTAGTTTTAATGGTGCAAATGAATCTAAAGACTATTCTGTAAAATCAATTTATTACTTCAATAGGAACCAATTTAAAAGTATGAATAATACTTAAAAGAGGTAAGTTAGTAGTCTACCTACATTCTTTTAAATCAGTGGCTTTTAGTTTGATTCTGCCCCTTCACAGGGTAACAGCCTGTGAAGCCTTCGCAGATTCAACAGTAACAGCCGCAGCCCTGGACCCGGCAGCAGACTGTGCTGCCCCTCTCGACACCACAAGGTGAGGGCAGTGGTCTCACTGCCTTCTCCACCCCAATCACTGCTCTGCTCTCTTCTTCTTTAACTGCTCCCCCTCCTCACATTTATTCATCTTCAGTACAATTTCTTTTTTCTCTCTTGATTTTTATAAAAGAACTGTCACTGTTCATCAGTGTTGAGCAAATTTAACAGCTTGAAATACTTTAGATTTTCATGTAGACTTTCGCGTGATATCTCATGGCTCTTCCTGCTGATTTCTCAGCTATGCACTTAAAATGCCATTCTTTTTCCTGGATTAGCCAGCTTTGATATACTCATTGGCCAAAGAGTCCAATTTGCCACCAACACCCATAAAGACCAACATGTCCTGTTTAAGCTCAAGCTGTGAGTCTCTTGTGCATTTTGGGTCAATGTTGGACAATAAAGGCAGCATTTTCAGGTAAGTTATACTATCACTCTAAGGAATTATTTTGAAGCTATCCTACTTTAAGTAGTTAAGTTCTAAGTACAAAACATGTTAGGCTAGAGTTGAGATGTAGATTTGTAATATCACAACCAGTGAGAAATCCTCCCAAGTTTCAGTAGGCTCCTAAACCTGGAAAAACACCAGGAATCATCCCACTCAAACCACAGACGAGACTAAGATACAGGAATTGAAGTAAATTATCCCGAGGTCACTCTGCCCATTAGGGGGAAAGGCTAGGAGCAGTTTATTTCTTAGTTTATTTCTTGAAATAGCTTAGCTCCTATGCAGCCAGATGAGCTGGATGTTAATTCCATTCTACATAATTCAAAATTCTTGATGAAGTGATTAGGAGAAATGACACATAGGATTATTATGCATGTTCTTACTGTAGAACCACCTTATCAGTGAAAGTCACACACACACACCACCACCACTAACAACAACAACCAAAAACTTATCTGCATTTATTTGGATGGGGGCAAGAACCAGATGCACTTGACATAACAAGAACATTTCTGGATAGAAAGTCCAACAGCTTTAAAGTCCAAAATTCTAGGTTTACATCCCAGTTCTAACTTGTGAAGCCATTTTCTCTTTCTTGACTCAGTTTCCCTCCTTCTGTAAGAGGGGATTTACATCTGCCATGGGGGTACAGCTTATATCCAGATGTCCCCGTAAAGACTCATGAGCTCATAGGTGGGGCTTTTGGGAGTGACTGGACCATCGGTGTGCGATACTGGATTAGTCCACTGACTGGTTTAGCATAGTTCTGGATGTGGACGATGAGTTTACTAAAGAAGAAAGACCCACTCTGGTGTGGGTAGCACCAAACAATAGGCTTGTATCCTGGATGGAATAAAAAGGGAAAAAAGGAAGTCTCTACTGCTTCCTGCCTGCCATGCCATGGACTGTTTCTCTTGTGCCATACCACCCTGCCTTGGAGCCAGCCAACTATGGATGGAAACCTCTACAAACTGTACGCTGAAATAAACCTTTCCTTCTTTAACTTGTTGGGTTGTGTTGGGTGTTTTTTACAGCAATGAGAAAGTAACTAAGACACACACACAGTGTTATCTACACTTCTTGTCTTACAGTAGGTAATCAACATTAGATATTGAGGAATACTTTCCTCTTAAAAAGTTAACAAAAGAATATGAAATTCCAGATATATCCGATTAGGACACATTGACTCCACACACTGCCTGGAAGTAGAATCATTATGAAAGAATTTGAAATATAGCACTGCCTTAAAAATATGACAAAATCTCTTTTCTTGCCAGTCTCAGATGACTAAGTCTGGTATAGATTTTTTTTTAAATTACAACTTTTTCTTTCTCTTTTTTCCTTTTTTTGTTTTTCAGTACCGGGAATTGAAACCAGGGCCTTGCATATACTGGGTAAGAGCTCTTGAGCCACATACCCCTGCCCACAACTTTTTTTTTAAAGAACGGGCAAAAAGGAAAAAGAAAAGTGGTTGGCACAAATATTCCTCATTCTATGCTTACATGACATTATGAGAGATCTATTTGGCCCTCCTGCATAACATTAGGAATAAATAAATACAAATAATGTATCTTTAGTGTCTACAAAGTGACTGACATATAAAAATTTAAAGATAACTGGGTTAGTCAGAAAGGGAAACCACCAGATATATCAAAGCAAGAATTTTCTCTTTGTTTCATTGCTTCCTTTCAACTAGGGCTGTTTCACCAGTTTCCTCTTCTCTCCATCCTGAGGCTGCTCTCCACTGACTGCGTTCTCAATGCCTCAAAAGTCTTCAAGCTCCTCCTCAACTGTCTGGTAAAAAGTTCAAATTTCCTCTTCACTTAACCTTGCTGCCTTCTCAAGCTATAATCCTGCCTCCTCCTGTTACCCTCAAGTTCATTAAAGTAGCTACCAACTCGTGGTCCCAAGTCCTGCATTCCCCTTACTATTCGAAGTGAGGCACGGCTTCCCTTCGATCTTCTGATGCTGCTCTCTCAAAGCTCTCCCCTGACCTCCTAAGTTTTACATCCGAGGACCTGTTCTCAGCCACCTTTTGGGCTGCCTTGCTGCTGCAACAGGGCTCACACATTCCTTTCAAAACCTTCTGTTCCTTTTGATCTCTAACAGTGCCTACTGTTATCCTCATCTTTCTTTTTCAGGTTTTGGGCTTACTTCTCCTTAGCTGCCTTCTCCTTAAGCCTTGCATAACTCAAGAGACCTCACGGTAAGCAGGATCCATCCTGCAGGATCTACGGAAGGTCACATACAGATTGCCACTCTTAACCAAGTAATGAAATCCTAACTGCATTAAGGTTAAGAAGCCAGAAGCCACTAGGCAGGACTCCATGAAGGAGGCCCTCCTCCTTGCAGGACTGGGTTACTGGGTTCTGCATCTTTTGCATTATGGTCCTAAAGAGAATAGATTGTCCGCAGACATCACAAGATTATACCGCTGGTCATCATCTCTATCCTGTATACTTTCTCCCTTAATGCTTAGCTACTTTCAAGAATTTGCCTATAACCTGGACTGCTCCAAATGAAGTATCTTGCTTAAATTCTAGACACTAATTTCCTATTTAATGCATTCCCACTGGCTTGAACCACTGGTGGTACATGCATGACTGTTTCATTGGGTTGTTTGTACCACCTGATGGAACTGCTCCATACCACTCTATGGTACAGTCATGCATGTACTACGCACCATTTTTTCTGAGCCACCTGGCAGTGAGACATGAATGATGGCTCATTGTGAATGCTTTATTCTCCCTGCCCCTCCTCTCCACTCCACCTCCATCATACCAAGACATGTAACGCTGTCAAGAATTTTTCTTGTTAGTATTTGAATTTCCTTTATCATACACTGTGGCAATCCTGCATCTTTATAATTCACCAACACAGAAATGGAATGAAGAAACGTGGCATGTTTTTCTGTATTGCTACCTTAAAATTTTCACTGGAATGGCTCTAATGCATGTTCTTCATGGCCTATAGATATCTTCAGTTAATATGAAATATTAAAAATTATGTTTCTAAAAACAGGTTAGGTTCTCAGTTACCTCAGCTTAATAACGAGACCATCTAAAATCCCATCTCCACTGTTCTTTCCTATAACAGGTAATTCATATTCTATTTGAAAAAGGCCCCTTTCCAGAGCCTTTTATTTAAGAAGAGTGACTTGAAGGTATACCTGAAGTCCTGTACAAAGAACAAATTTCAAAGCTTTAATCAGGAGGTAAAGACAGAAAGTATATGTGTGTCATTTTTGAAAGGAATTTTCACAGCATTTCTCTTACATGTGAACATATGTGAATGCCTTTTTTCATAGGCATTCACACAACTTTAAAAAATATTGTGAAGAAAATTCAGGAAAAGCAATGAATAAAAAAGTACATGGTTTAATACTTTTTAAACCCATCAGATGTGATTAACTTTAGAAAATGGCTACATAAAGTTGTATCATCACACAGATGCTAACTGCAGAGCCAATTTTGTACTTAAATGGCTTTATTCTATAAGAGAAAGGTACTGTGCTGAGGAGTTCACTTCTTAATAAATGAAAGTTAAAATACTAGCTGTTTGAAATGCTTTATCAATTCTTACAAGAAGCTACTTTAAAAAAAAAAGAAGCTACTTTTGTTGGGTTCTTTGTAAATTCATCAAACACAATCACTTGCTGGAAATCTAAATCATCATTTAAAAGTACTACAAACAAAAATATAGAGCAGGAAAAAACACACTTACATCTCTTGATTACCGCTCGAATGGATGACAAGGGTCCTTGGCTAGAAAAAGAAAAGAAAGAAAACATATTACACACTCATCAATCCTTTTGAAGAGGAGTTATTCATAATGTGGGGTCACTTAGGGGATTTGATATGTTGTTAAGGAGCAAGTTGGACACATTATAGGCCTATCCTCTTTACAAAACAAAAAAGTTTAAATTATCTTTTATATTTAAGATGTTTTACGGAAAGTGAGGAGGTTGACAAAGTATATCTAACGTGTAAATAAATTTGGTTTCAAATCACTTTCACAGAAACTTATATACTGTATCTTCCAGTGAAAATCTGGACACAACTTGTAGTCAGATAGTATTACATGGTACACAAAAGGGCTTACTCCTTATAGCTCTTTCATGTTTGACAATGAAACTCTTGTCTTCTCTTATTACATTTAAATATATCATCTATAGTATCAATTTGACTTGAAGACCAATAGCATTTTTTAAGATTAGAATTTAAAACACCACCACCACACAATGAAGCAATTTTCTGCTTGCTTTGAGTTCTGCTCAAGAACTGGTTGATTCTAGCTTTGCTTCAGTGTGACCTTGGACGAATCAGGAAACCTTTCTGGGCCTGTTTACTTATTAGTCCAGGCCCACTAGCTACAAGGGCTTATTGCTACCAGTTCATAGAGGGGGCTTCTGTCTTTATTCAAACCAGCCAGCTAATTGCCTTTGGAATCATTTAGAAAAAAATATAATCCTGAAAATTTAATGGTATGATTTAGCAAAAAAAAGAAAAAGAAAATAGAACTTCTTGCTTATAAAATTCTTCTCTCTTTTCCGAATGTTCTTTAAAAATTTATATTTATTTTTAAACTTATACTCTTTAAAAATTTATGCTTGTGGTAATGTTTCTTCTTGATGAACTGTGACTTTAGGAAGCTATAATAACATATCAGTTCATTTTAAGAAGGGATACTTTCAGAATATACTTGCTGTGGTTTGACGGTGCTACTCCATCCAAAAGCCTGGGTTGGAAACTTAAAACCCATGAAACAATGTTGGGAGATGCAGCCTAACGAGGTCCTTCATTAGGCCAGGAGGGCTCTGCCATATAAATGGATCAATGCTACTGCTGTAGGAGTGGGTTCATTATAAAGAGGTGAGGCAGGCTTTTCTTCTCTTGCCCTTCTGGCCACTACCAACACGAAAGCCCTTGCCAGATGCCAGCTCTTGATCTCTGCCTTTCCAGACTCCAGAACCAGAAGTCAATGCACCTCTGTTCAGTGTAAATTGGTCTGTGGTATTCTTTACAAGCAGCACAAAATGGACTAAGATAATATAGTTCTGTCAGACCAGGAAGAAAGCTCCAGGAGGTCTCTGATACCATGAAGCTACTTCCAGGACTGTGGACAATAAATTTCTGTTGCTTTAAGCCACCTAGATTGGGGAATTTTTCTTACTGCAACCCTTAAAAACTAATGCAGCCTAAGCATCTCTACTCTGAAAATCCAAAATCGCAAACGGGGTATTGACGTGACACTCAAAAGGGTTCAGATTTTGGAGTATCTCAGGTTTTGGATTAAGATGCCCCACAGGTAAAATCCATGCAGATATTCCAAAATCCAAAAAACTCCAAAATTTGAAACACTTCTGGTCCCGAATATTTCATATAAGGGATACTCAACCTTCACAGCAGACCTGGAGTGCTAACATGTGATTGTTCACTGAGCTGCAGACTCTGTGGACTTTCTGGTACCTCACACTTCAGTGAAGGGTGGTGGTGGGTTGAAACTTTGGTACAAAATAGAGTTTTGACTGAGGCTGGCTAAAGTTTTTCATCTTAAGATTTACATCATCATGTTTGGGCAGCATGTATAAACCAACCACCCAACATCTTATGTTTAGAACAGAAATTTCCACATTCTGAAGTTCTCCTTTAGAGGTTAACAGTGGTTTTACGGTGGGAAAATAAATAAGGCTGCCTGTGGTCAAGTTCTGGGAGATGGAGCAGCCTCCCAGCTATGTGGTGCACAATTTCTGTACTGACATGTGGCCATGGATGCAGAAACTAAGGCTGTGAATATGATCCTTTAGATCCATCTTTCTAAAGAGCCAAGGCCACAGGTGAAGGTACCACTGTAGAGCCTTAAGGAAAATCTCACAGAAGGCCTTCAGCACATCAGACTCATGTCTCCCCAGGGAACTGAAGGACAGTCTCTATAGGACAGCAGATATGGCCAAATGACCACAGACCAGAGGGGCAGCACAGCCTGCTGCTTCAAAGTGCTGTTCCAGAGTCCACCTGTCACGTTCATTGAGCCACACACTGCTGAGGTGCTGCTGAGCACACACTGCTGAGGTGCTGCTGAGCATCGCCTTCTAATCCAGCCCACCCTGGTAAGGCTGAAGATGGGCCGAGGCTGACCGCGTCACATTTATGGGACCGCAGTCTCTCAGGGCACGACTGCAGCGATGTGTGTGCTTGTGTGACGCCCACCGCCGCCGGCTGTAAGCACTGAAGTCGAAATTCTTGTCCTACGGCTGCGCCTGTCACAGGTTTGGGCACAACCCTCCTTAGGGACAGCCTTGCTGCAGGTCAGCAGAAAGCCCTGGAATCGCAGGGTGTTTTTACATGAGTTAGGTTAAAAACATGAACTTTACTACTTTAAAAAAGTTATTTTAAAGCTTTCTTTCAAAAAATGAAGTATCTTTAAAATTTAAAAATGCAGTATGTCCTGCACGCAGTCAGAAGTGCTTCCTTTCACTCCGCAGTGGCGCTGCCACCTTCACTCAGGCCTGGCCCAGTGTGCGCGCCTGCGTATGTAAGTGCTATGAAGAAATCTTGTGAAAAGATAGTAATTTTAATTTCAAGTTCTGTCCACAAATTGAAATAAAGATGGGTTGTGGGGGTGATTAAAAAAGGAAGAGATGAAATGTACAATTATTTTTGTTTTAAAATTGAAGTAAAATTTAGAAATATTTCCCTCTGGAAATTTTACTTCTGGTTGGGAAGACAAATTAATAGTGGCATTAGTAGGACAAAATTGGGGGCTGGCTGGGAAGGAACAGAGCAAAACAATGAGGAAGAGAAGAAGGAAAATAAATGTCTAGCACCAGTAGCAGCTTTAGAAAATGGGTACTATGGCAGCACTAGGTGGAGATAATGCTATGAAAGGAAACCTGGTAAGTCTAGTGTTTATAATTAAAGATTATCCATACTTTAAAAATGATACTTATTTCTTTTCTTTTTTTGTTGTGGTGCTGAGGATCAAACCCAGGTCCTCATGCATAAACATACGCAGGTGCTGTGTCACTGAGCTACATCATAATGATACTTATTCCTTAACTAAGATAAAACAAAGTCTGTGATTTGCTGTGTTTCAGAAGAAACATTCTGGCATGTGATTTTATAAATAAATCTTAGGCCAACCCTGACTTGCTTCTCCAAACAGAAAGCAAGAGAATTACAGACTAGCCTGTATTTTTATCTTGTGTACATACTGGACGTAATTTGTATCACTGTACATTAATCGCTAGATTAAAGCAATATATTATATAATGGAGAAAAATATTAGATACTAAATTATATTTGCTAAGAGAAAAATATAAAGGAGTGTGGCCATTTTACTAGTGTTTAAATTAGTATCACCATCACAATATTTAGGTAGGGCCAGATGTGATAACCAAGAATAATGGCAAAGTACTGATTCTTAAAATAAGTGCCAACAAAGTATCTAACAGTTCTAAAATTCTGATAAACTCTATAGTTAAGAATTAGAGAATAAAGATTTGTAATGAAAAGATAACTGCAATCCAACTGGAATGATGTTTTCTAAAGTGGGGGTACATGCTGGCAATTGAACCTAGTGACCTGTGCCTGCTAAGCAGCTGCTCCACTAAGATACACCCTCTAGGAATGGTTTTTCCTAGAGTTTAAAAACTACAACAAACCTGTAATCCCAGCACTCAAGAGGTAGGAGGGCCACTGTGAGTTCAAGGCCAACCTAAACTGCAGTAAAACCCTATCTCAAAAAGAAAAAACCAAACGAAATCAAAACAAAACACTGTAACAAAACTACAAAGAATTTCTAATTAATTTTCTGAAACCTTTAGGAGAAAATTATGAGTTCTGTCTTCATTCACTTTTCCATCACCATTGACAGCCTAATTATGATCAATAACATCAAGTTCCATACATTTTCATTTAACATTTTTCAAAGACAAGCAAATCCCATATGCAATTGCTATGTACACATGTTATTGGACAAATCTCATAAATATTTAAATGAGTTATGTTAACAGCACATATTTTAAAATTTATAGAACGAATTCTAGCCACAGTTATATCTGCAAGCACATAGCTAGTAAATGCATGATGTGCCTACTGGGGCCACATGGCTATCGTGGGAAGAGTACAGAATCTGCAGTCAGCTAGAGACTGTTTCCTAGTTGTGTGAGAGGGCCGTTTACTTACTTGATGGAACCATTTGCTTATCTGTCATATGAGGATATCGTGGCTATTTTTGTCTAGTTGCTAAGAGTGAATGAAAAATCTATGATCTCTCTGTCCTCCCCCATAAGAGAAAGAGGAAGAGAATATATTTCATACAAATTTCTGTAGCTCATAATATATGTGGCTGAAATTTTTAAAGTTATCCTGCCAACGCCAGTTGAACTGACCTAAAGCTAGCATAACCCTAACTTACATTCAGACATTTTGCATTTTAGTTGGAATTATTATTCACCACTTATAACCACGCTGAGTCTCACAGTGCATGCTTTTCATATTCTTAATCTTTTATGAAACCAAAACAAAAACAAGGCTAACAGAACAAAAGAAATTTAGAAGCTTTTGTGGTGTTTTCATTCTCACTAGAAATATGTCTATTTTTAGGTCATCCTTCCAGGATATTTTTTTAACAAAATGGGCATGGCTGATCAGTGCTCCACAGATTTACTTTCATATTTTTTAATGAATATTTAAAAAATTCCTTTAAAGAGCTGGGCATGGTGGCACACATCTGTAATCCCAGCACTCAGGAGGCTGAGGCA